GACGCACCCGACGCACACCCCCAAGAGGAGGCTGGTTGGTTGGCTCCTCCAACCCATCTTAGACAAACTCCGCCCAGCTCTCGACACTACCTGTCGCTAGACTCGAACGAACGCAAGCAGGCGTAAAGCCGGAGGCAGGGGGAAAGAAAAGTCAGCGAGGAACCACTGAGAACCACTTTACTGCAGCCAGCAGGGTCAGATCAGGGCACGTCTTTCATCATCGACCATTCATCGCCACAATCCCCTGGCAGGTCCTTTTCTAGAGCCGCCTGCCCCTCGCCCTACAGTCTCCGTACCAACTTGTCTCTCTTCTCTTCGCCCTCCACTCTGCTCCGTTTATACTACGAAAGAAGCAGTCGGTATCCGTACTCAACCGCGCTACCGCTACCAAACCGGCCTTGCACCTTGTTTCCAGCAGACCACCCCACTCCTCAAGGCCCGGGGATAGATCATCGACGTCGGTCGCACTTCCATCGGCGCTCTACGATTCTCATCTCTCTACCACACATATCCGGCTCACGACAACCTTTGTCGCCCTTTCAAAGCCCGTTGCTGCCGCCACCACAACCACTTCCTCCACGCATACTCGGAACGGAGAGACACCCAAGAGTTCGAACCCAGACAACAAGTATTCGGATGACTTGATTTAGACTCAGGACATTTTTTCTTCTTTCTTCTTCCCTTAACCCCCTCTCATTCCGCCCTTCCCCCGCCCTTCTTCAGCCCGCTCCCCCCCCCGGCTCAATCATTCTCAAATACCACCTTCCGCAGCTCGCTCTCCCCCGCACCTGTGTGCTTTTGTGCTCGACTCGGCCTCACCAGCCTGCGTCCGCACTATCTCCTCGACAGCGAGAGGGTTTCAACAGGCTGTCTTTCGCGACGCCCGCTTATTCCGACTCATAGCACAGCTTAAAGATGGCTGCTGCATTTAGACCAGTAAATTCGCCCTTGCCTGGTGCCGACATCAAGATGGACGACAAGATGATGACGACGTCACCAACCACACCGAAGCCAAGCACTGCACCGCTCCCGCGCACACCACAGCCTATGGCCGAGGATGTGAAGACGCCCACGAAAGCGACCTTTAGCAGTGGTAGCGGCACCACAGGTCTGGCTTCCCAGAAGCCTCTACCAAGTTCGCCATTTCCCCAGGCCGTGCAGGTTCCCGAGAGTGCCGAGAAGGTCAAGACACCGACAAGAGCGAACTCACAACACTCGAGGAGATCAAGGGACTCGGAAGATGTGGACATGGACGAGTCCGACGGCGAAGGTGAAGAGGGATCTGACGATGACAGCGTGAATGCCGACGGTACCAGATCCAACAAGAAGAAGAAATCACAGCGATTCTACTGCACCGATTATCCGCCCTGCAACTTGAGCTTTACTCGAAGCGAACATTTGGCTAGGCACATTCGGTAGGTCCTCTGACATGCCCGCAGACGAGCGTTTGCTAACCGTCGCAGGAAACACACCGGCGAGAGACCTTTCCAGTGTCACTGTTCGCGCCGTTTCTCCCGTCTCGATAACCTGCGACAACACGCACAGACGGTGCACGTCAACGAGGACATCCCCATAGATTCCTTGGCCGCGACTGGTGCTAGATTCCAGAGGCAGATGCGCACTGAGCGTGTGCGTCAGCAGGGTGGCAGGGCTCGCGCATCAACGGCTGGCAGCACGCCTGGTGGACCTGTCAGGGGTCACTCCAAGTCGCTTTCGACATCCAGCATCGCCAGTGTCGGCTCCATCGGCTCTGCTTTCGGACCTCGTGATGACATCCGAAGACGCCCTCCGCCTCTCGTCATGGCAAGCGACCCTCGCTCCCGCCTGTCACTCGAATCATACCGAAGTGCTGGAGACGGTCCTTACGGCTATCGCCCTGTCTCGCCAACTGACTACAGCACGCCGACGTCAGCAACGTTCTCGACAGGCCAGAGCAGCCCGCGGTGGGGTTCGGCAATTGCTTCTCCTACCACTACGCACTCCCGATCTCATAGCATGTACTCTTCTGGGTCGCGAACTCCGGGTCGGAGACTCAGCGTGCCGTCCGGCGTCAATCCTTTCCAGTCACCGCACGGCGCACCGGTCAACAGAATCGTCTATGGTAACGGACCTGTCAACACTTCCAACATGGGAGCCTTCTCCCCAGCCCCCAGTAGCCATCTGGCATCGCCGACCACGCCGACGTCTGGATGGTCTGGGAGAAGGGACTCGACTTCGTCTAATGCAGACGAGGCCTGGCGCAGGCGGACTTGGCATCCTGACACGAGGACCTTCAACACCAACACCAGCCACCTCAGCAACGTCCTCACTCCCGGTCAAATTCAACCGAACCCTGCACCGCCCATTGCCAATGCTCCCAACCCTCAGCAGACACTCCGGTTGCCTGGCATCGAATCTTTTGACCCCTTGCCGTCCAGACAGGTGTCGCCTCCTCGACGGATTCCTTCGCCGATGATGGTTGATGCCGAGGGTGCCCACCGCCGCCCCATGCTGCCTGGTACTGAGGCAGTCGCTGATGAGCGACGGAATGTTGCTCAATGGGATATGAGCTTGCACCGTGGCCTGACGAGACTTGAGATTGCCTCCAACACCACTCCTCCCCGCGACAGCGCCGGTGCGTGGGCAAATGAAGTGAACCAGGCAGTGCAGGCACAAGCAGAGCAGGTACGCTTGAACCCGCCCACCGTGAGATTCGAGGTCGACCCGCCGTCGTATGCCAACTCGGGCGCTTTCACTCGCAACCACCAGCACACGATGTCGGCCCCGTCCTTTGCACACCGAGACACCAAACGCCATGGGTGGTATCATGGTCCCTCTGGTAGCAACGTCCACGGACCTCGACCGGAAGCACCTAGCCACGATCCTCGCGGACCCCATGTCAACCGTATGGTTCATCCCAATATGGGACACTTTACTGGGTTTCCTGGGCGACAGCCTGAGCCGCAGCAAATCCAGCAGCAGCAGCCCGGCAACCCTGACCCCCTGAGACGCCTGGAGGCGTTGGTGGCCGTTGCTACAAGTGAGGGAACTACCGCCACCGCGTACTAAGATTCTTTGAATCCTTATCACGCCTCTCTACAATCTTTCCGCCATGTGCCATAAGGCGATGGTACATATACGTAACACGACTGACGAATTTCCTTTTTTCTTATCTGGAAACATGTCAGCAGGGCTTCCAATCTCTGCATGGCATACAGTCGCTTTCTTACCATGATATCCCGTTTTTACCTAGTTTGGTGGGCAACTGCACTTTTTCTATGGCAGGCGTTGAAACATAGCGTTGATTTTGCTCTCCTATCTGTCTGGGTGTCACCACCCTCATCTCAGCTCATCTGGATTACGGTCGACTTTTCCACTTTTCCGTTCTCATTTATCTTTTCTTTTCTTATTTTGATATCCTGCTTCAACATTTATGATTTCCTTTTCATTTAGTCATCAGGTTTGGTTTACCATTGACGGTTACGGTTTCTGTGGCAGTGATTTCGCAAGTAGAATTTCCTATCTCGGTTTTGATTCCCCGTAACGTTTGCTCACGATCAATGAGATACCCACTCATTCCGGGATGATGGATTCAGTGGTGGATAGTAATGTGTCGCTCTCTCTGCGGTTGAGACGGACAAACAGTCGGCCTGCACGCATGTATATGGAGGCAGGCCAGGAATGGAAGGGCAAGGTTGGCGGATATGTGGACAAGATACCCGAGCTTGGTAACGACCGGCAACTCTGATTTTACGGGAGGCCTGGTCGATGCTCACAAAGTTGGAAGCGATGGTTTCAAGGCCATCACCAAGGATCGGGCGGTATACATGTGTCTGTAGGCGTACAACCGGAAGGAATAACGACGCACATGCTCTCAATGATTATCTTATCTGGAAATTGTTCTCTCTCTTGGTGACTGTATGCGATTCAGTGATTTGCTCTGTGAATTTGCTTGCGATGAGGGGAACGACACTGAGGTAGGGCGAGAGATGGCCAGCCCCTTAATGCACGATGATGTGGCTATAGTCAGCAGCGCTGCAGCTCGTCTGCCAGCCTCCAGCCAATGAAGCAGGTTCAGTGACGACAATCAAGAGATTGGAAGACGCGGGGGAAAGATTTGATGGATCTGCCAATCTGCGCCCGGTTTCAAACTTTGATGGGGGGCAATGGTGCTGGGCGATCTCTGAGGATGAACGCCGTGGACTTGCTTATGGTTCATCAGCCCCCCGGCGCTTTTCGGAGGAATGCCGATCTTGTCTGCCGAAGTTTCTTCAGCGGTGAGCCCGTTGAGGGTGGATCCGAGGTACCGGGGCCGGAGGATGCCGGGTCGCCGCGGGTGAACCCTTCCCATTCCCCGCCGCTGGAGATGTTTTCTAATCACTTCTATGGCTTTTATGATCGGAGTCTGGGATGGATCCGGAAGTCCGTTGGCGTTTGATCATTGGACGACGGTTAGGTATTCAATGTGGTACTTTTTTCTCGTGTTCTTTTCCCCATAGAGGTAGGTACGTGAGGAGTATCAAGTACGTAGGAAGTGCGAGGCCAAGCCCCTGGGACTTGCTGGATGAGGTGTCTACAGTATTATCTAAGTAGGTTTCCGGGTCGCCGATGAGTCCCAATCCAGGTCATGAACTCCTTGGCTTTGAAGGAAATCGTCTGATGGTTGTTTCGAGATCGGGCGCGGGAGTCGGGCGGAGCGGTACCTATTTGCTAGTTGCAACTTACCTTGTGGTCTGAGCCCGGTAACAACGCGGGGGGAGGGGGAGGGGGAGGGCGGGGAAAAGATGAAGACTTGTAACCTGGAGAATGGAGTCATTAGCTTGGAGTATCCACAACGTTGCAAGAGACGAACGGGGCCGAGGGATGGAGACGGAGGATGGGGGATGAGTATTTATTACCGGCTCGCTCGGTGTTTGGCTTCTTGGATTTGTTGTATAAGAATTTCAGGGACTGGTATTTTTCCTGTTCGTGGATCTCTCCATCTTGTTTCCGACGAAGAGGAACTGCTTCACCCGGTCAAAATGTTCATCACGCAGATCCCGAAGCCCCCGGGCCTCATCGGGACAACACTCCTCGCCTTGGCCGCCCTCACACCCTCAACTTCCGCATCAGCATCCACATCCGCAAAATGCGACCCCTCAACATTCACATTCCCCTCCACCCTCGGTCTCCAACACATCAAAACAACAGCCAATGAAGTCCACAACTATACCGGCTTCCCGAACCGATTCTCCGAGGCATCTCTCTCCACAACATCCGCCTCGACCACCGGTATCCCACCATTCTGTAACGTCACGGTATCATACACCCATCCAGGCCACAACGATGTAGTCAACGTGCACGTCTGGCTCCCCCTCGAGAAGAACGCTTGGAACAGGCGATTCATGGGCCTAGGCGGCGGTGGATTCGTAGTCGGCGAAGTCGACGGTGACGCACCGAGCGCCGCAATCCAGGAAGGCTACGTCGCCGCCGTTACGGACGGCGGGCATCTGGCTAGCACTCCGCCCGATGTCTGGGCGCTACGAAGCCCGGGAAATCTGGATTGGCCGCAGCTGGTCAACTTTGGATACCGGAGTTTGCATGAGCTCGCTGTTGTGGGCAAGGCCGTTTTGAAGGAGTATTATGAGGAGGAGGAGAAGTATAGTTACTTCAAGGGGTGTTCGACGGGGGGAAGGCAGGGACTGGCTGTTGCGCAGAAGTACCCCGGGGATTTTGACGGGGTGTTGAGTATGTGTCCTGCGGTGGAGTTTCCTGCCATGGTGACGTCGTTGTATCTTGGGCAGTTGGTTATGCGGTGGAGGGGTTATTGGCCTTCTGGGTGTGAGTTGGGTGCTGTTGTGGCTGCTGGTGTTGAAAGTTGTGATTTGGGGGATGGGAAGAGGGATGGGATTATTGGAAGGGTCGGGGAGTGTGGGTTTGATGTGAGGTCGGCGGAGGGGAGGGAGTTTGCTTGTAAGGGGGCTGATGGGAGCAAAATCGAGGGGAGGGTTTCGAGGAAGGCGGTTGAGATTGTTGAGGAGGTTGTGGGGGGAGTTTTGGACGAGGAGGGTACGGCGATGTTTCCGAGTTATGTTCCTGGGACGCAGTTTGCGGGATTCCTTGCTATGATGAATAGCGTCTGCGAGGATGAGGCGGATCGAACAAGGTGTAAGGGCGTGCCGTTTTCCGTGGCGGATGAGTGGATTCGGCTGTTTATCGAGAAGGATCCTACGTTTGACCCGGAGACGATGTCGAGGGAGACGTTCCGGGATGTTTTCCGGCGGGGCGTGGAGGAGTTTGATTCCGTTATCGGGACGCCTGTGCCGGATCTGAGGAGGTTTAGGGAGCGAGGAGGGAAGGTGTTGATGTGGCACGGCATGGCGGACCAGGCTATCTCTATCAAGATCGGACGTGGGTTGTATGAGAAGGCAAAGGGGATTGAGGCGAGCCGCGGGGTTGAGATTGAAGGGTTCTGGCGGTATTTTGAGGTTCCGGGGGTGAATCACTGTGTTTCGATGACCGGGGCGCCATTTCCCTGGAGTGCGTTGAAGAAGTTGAGGTCGTGGGTTGAGAATGGGGTTGCGCCTGGGCAGTTGGATGCCAGGGGGTTCAAGGTGGGAGAAGATGGGAGGGTGGTTGTTGATGAGGAGGTTAGAAGGATTTGTCTTTATCCTGAGGAGGGTGTTTGGGATGGCAAGAAATGGGTTTGTGTTAGCCCGGGTGAGAAGATTAGTCAGGGTGAGAAGGAGGAGCTTTGAGGTCGACGGTCTAGGGTGATGTGCTCTTAGAGTTGGAGCAAGATATCAGAGCGTGGATATCTCAAGGGAACGTGTGACACTTGCATCCAGACCATTTATTCATACATGGTATATATACACACAGACATCTGCATAAACTCCCTCATTTCCACCGTCTAAAAGGGTGCGCTTCAGTATTGAACACAAACTCATCCAAACTCACCAACCCAGGCTCGCTAAAGATGAGATAGAAATACTTCAACGTCTCCCCCATCCAAAACGACTCCATCGAATCCGACTGCGGAGGCCGCCCCTCAGCGGTGACATCCCACACCGCCGTGTTCGCCAGCTCCGTGCTCGTGACGTTGTCAATGGACGAAAACATGTCCCATGCGGAGTCTAGCAAGCTCGCATCGGCTGTGGCGCGGTACATGATGAAGACACTCTCGATGGCCTCGGGGCGGAGGATGTAGCGCCGGTCCGGGACGGCGGAGAAGCCTGGGACGAGGCGGTCCTTCTTGATGATTTCGTCTGCTGTGAGGACCTCGTCGTCGTCCTTCCTTTCTGCGCGCTCGAGGACGTGTTTTTTGTAGAGGGCTTCGTCCCAGGTGCATTCGGCTTTGGAGGGACAGGGAACCATGTAAAACGTCTCTGGCATGATGCCGTGCGGGAATGACTTGTACGCGTACACGCAACCGTCGACGAGCTTTCTCGCTACAGATACTTCGTCGGGGTGGTTGAAGAGTTTGCCTCCCAAGGCAAGAAGCCCGCCCATGAAGCAGACGAGGTGCTGGCCCTGCGGCTCCTGTTCGATCGTGTGCAGGCCGTTCGTCTCGCGCGAGTGTGCCTGCCCCGCGATGAGGATGTCTTCGTTGGTGGGCGTCATGGGCCGGAACAGGTTATGTTCGATGGCGGGTTTCACGGCGGCTTCGTACATGGATTTGTACATCCCACTGCGTCCACCTACGAGGGCGGACATCTTGGGAAGGTATTCGTAGAGGGAGTCGGCCATGGCGCCGAGGGTGAAGTCGTCGCCTTGGTTGAAGACCTCGTCTTTTGGGTTCACGACGAGCGGCCAGAGGCCAGGGATGTTGGTTTTGTTCTGCTGCCGTTCAAAGATTTCCATGATGCGTTGTGTTGCGTCCCAATACTTTGGGTCGCCTGTTAGTATTGAGAGGCGCGTGAATTCCATCGAGAGACTTCCGATCTCCGCTACCAGGGCACCGTTCCCGACGTTCTGGGCGTCACCGCGGGCTGCATCGCCGACTTTCCAGCGGGTGATCGGCATGCGGTTGGGCGTGTCAAAGGCTTTGTAGAGCATCTCGCCGACCTCGGCCGCCTTGCGGAGAAGGCGGACGTCGCCGGAGAGGTCAAAGGCTGAGAGGAAGCCTCCGAGGTAGCGGATGGTTGTTTCAAACACGTTGATGTCGTCGAGGTCGGTGTGCGTGAAGTCGATAGTCTCAGCGGCGGTGACAGCTTCGTCAAAGTCGGACTTCATGTCCATGATCCAAAGGGTGTCGAGGGAGTCTACGAGGGTCGCAGCCCAGCCTCCGAAGGTATTCCGACGACCGCCTGAGACGGGGGTCAGTTCGTCTGAGAGCCAGGCGTGTTTCCGATACGATGACCAGGCTTTTTGAAATGCTTTTTTGACGGTCTGTTGGCGTTCTTCACGGACGCGGCGTTGGGCGCTCGTCTCGGGCGGGAAATGGGCTTGAACTTGGGGGAAGCGGATGGAGGAGACGGCGGGCACTTGGCGGAGGGGTTCCGGGGCCGGGTGGTGGACCTTGACGGTCCGCCAGAAGTATGTTTTGTCTTGTTCCGTCATCCATTCTATCGGTTTTGGCGGGATGGCTGATGAAGATGAGGATGTTGGGAATGTAGGCAGGCCGCCGTCGTTGTGCCAGAGAAGGAGGAGGAGAAGGGAGACTGGGAGGCCTAGGAGGACGATGCCTGGCATTTTTCGCCTTGCCAGGAGCATCTTCTCTCTGTGACTTTTGGAGGGGGGTATCTAGGACTGTCACTCTCCGGTCTGGATACACACGTGTCAAACGTGGATATCGCGTCGTGAAGAGTGAGAAAATAGAGAACACGCAAGAGAAGAGAACGAGAGTGAACAGAAACCGAGACTGTTGCTGTTTCCTTTGCTTCGGGCCCAGGATTCGACGGTCGTTTACGTATTTTAGATTGCGGCCCGGCCGGATTTCTGTCCTTATCAACCCCCGTCTGTAGGTTGATGGGAAACTTGGAATGGGCCTCAGGGGTTGCGGACTTGTTTGCTCGTTTATCTCTTTCTTTATTTTGTTGCTCCCCGTTTGGCTGTGCCGCTGGAGGAAGAGAAGGCAGAAGAGGGGCGGGAAAGTCGGGCGCTTAAAGACTTTGGGTTGTGCGGGCGGCGGCGGCGCCGCCCCTGACAGTCATTCTCAATGCATATGCATGTGAGGTCTGTTGGTTTGCGCACTGGTTGTGATCCTTGTCGTTCACATCTTGGCGGTTGATCGCTACCGTTGGACGCGGAGAAGGGGATGGTCTGAGAGGGACGCAAAGGAGACGCATCCCGTGCAGCCCTGTACAGTACGGATTCGCGATCGAGGCTGCGCGATAAGTCTTTGGGTGATTCGGCAATATGACCACATCGGCTCGTCGCAGCGTCGAGTTTTGTCTGTTGGACCAGGGATCATGGGTAGCTCGGTCTGGGCATGGCGAGTGCCGTTGCACCATTCAGCACCCCTTGCTCCAGCCTTCAATTCCGGGCCGCCGACTTTGGTGGGAAAAGAAGTGAGTCAAATCCAAGCAAGCGGGATGATCTCTCAAGTCGAACCGGTCCCTAGAGGTACCGTACCCGGGCCTCACGGCGTCAGAAGTCTCAACGGCCCACGATAAAAGGTTGGACGGCGGCCACAACAGAGACCCCCAAGGCTAACTGCTGCAAGGTGGTAACGCGCGCTCAAAACGCCCATTCTAATTTCGCTCAATATGCAGCTTAACGCCGGGCAAATTCATATGAGTGGTCGTACCGTTCCGTCGGGACGGAAAACCCGCTTGTTGCTTTGTGCCATTGGTTGAGTTTTTTACTAGCTGCATAGTATCGACATGGGAATTGTCTTGGCCGTCCTATCACAGCATTTGAGACTATAGACTTTTAATCCTTGGACCTGAACCAACGAACGAGTCAACAAATCGATGAGACACTGTGTCGGGAGGTTGCAGAGAGACAGTGCGAAAGAGCTCACGATGCATCTGAGCATCGAGGCTGTTTGAGAGTTGACCGGATCCTGTTGCAACAGGCTGAAAAAGGATTGGGCGTACCGGGTTGTTATGGTTTGATGTGGGTATCTGAGGTAGACGGCGCAGCCCGTAGAGTCGGAGTTGCGGTGGGAGTTGTGGCAACCATGAAAGAGTTGATAACTTGCTAGTGCCTCGCTGCAACCCGCTTGTCACAATCTGGTGGTTTGCTTGCCTCTCCCTTGGAACATACTCTCACTTGTGCAGTGCCTTCTGGGAACATCAACCCGTCAAGTTCAGTCTGGAACCTGGAGTTCTGGGTTGACAGGAGCATCAACGCCATGGCATCCCATCCTTTTCTGTCCCTCCTAATCACCCTTCTTCTCTCCGTGGTACAGGTGCGAGCTGCCTGCTACTACCCAGACGGCAGCATCGCTCCCAACGATACACCATGCCAGGACCTAACGGCCGAGTCGACGTGCTGCGGGCAGGGCTACGCGTGCCTCTCGAACGCCATGTGCGAGGCAACGGGCAAAGAGTTATCCAAGGACGGAGCGACAGAGCTCGTGAGAGGCTCGTGTACTGACCGGTCCTGGCGGAGCTCGAGTTGTCCTCTGTTCTGCATCAACCCGGAGACGGATAACGTGGGGGGCGGCATCGGGGTTGCAAAGTGTGAGGGGACGGCGGAGGAGTTGTATTATTGTATCAACTCGGTCATGGACACGGTTAATTGCACGGCCAAAAAGAATGTCCTATTTTTCCAGCGTAAGTCATTTGTGCTTTTTCTTTTTCTTCCCTCGGTATGTTTCTCAATTTTGCGCAACTCTTTGAGCAAAGTCCTAACATGCCAACCTCATCATCACAGAATCACCAACAGCAATCACAACCATCGGCGTAGCAGCCACACCAACTCCATCATCATCGTCAACAACATCCGAGTCGACTTTAGTCGCCACAACCGTTATTAAAAGCACTTCTGCCGATCCTTCGGATACTCCAAACCCGAGCTCGGTAGCATTAAGTAGCGTAACTCAAGGTTCAACACAAAGTCCTACAAGCGGTCTCGAAACCAACCCTACCACGGAGCCAGAGGCAACAAATGACAAGACAGTCATCATCGGCGCGGCTGTTGGGGCTTCCGTAGGTGGTCTAGCACTCGGGATCCTCGCGGCATGGCTGTTCATCTTTCTCCGTCGACGAAAGCGCCGTACCCGAGAAGAGGCAGCCCAAACACAGGTGCAATACTACACGCCGGGGCCGCCGCCTGCTCGATACGTCAGTCCGCCTGTATTTGATCAAGTTCACGAAGCGCCTAACGAGTGGAAACCTCCTTTGGTGTCGGACCACTTTGCTCCTCAGGAGCTGCCTGGGTGGTCACCAGAGCCTCGGAGAAGCTGATCTGCGTAATCGCGACGACTTTTTCCTATGTAGTCTTCACCTTATGATAGCATGTAATGATACCACAGTCGGCTTCGGTAGATAGACATCTCGTAATGATAGATGGCTTAACCTGTCTTACGGAGTTGAACAACTTGGATGTTTGGATGAATTTAATATCGTGTTTATATACTTTTATAACAGTAGTCAATACAGACAAGAATAGGACCTATATCTAGGGGGTATCAATAGCATCATCTCGCTTAGTACCAAAGAGCTTTGTTCCAGAACTTGGCCTGTCCATTCGCCAGGTCGTCCTCCTCAAGGTAGAAGGTGGTGTTGAAGACAAGCTGAGTGCCCGCGGCAGAGCTGTTGCCGTACTGGGGCCACTCGATCTTGTCCTCGGACCACATGGTGTTGGGGTTGCCGGTCAAGACGAAGGACATGAGGTACTTCTGCATCATGACGGCGACGGTGGCGTTGACAGAGGTAGAGCCTCCGGGTCCGCCGGCACCACCTGCACCGCCAGGGCCACCGGCGCTGGAGGAGGTAGTTGCCGAAGCGGCGGCTGAAGTTGCAGTCGAGTTGGAAGCGGTGGAGTTGGACGTGGTGTTGCCGTTGCTGGAGGTGGAGTCGGAGAGGGAGTACGTGCTGTACCCTGTTGAATGTATTAGATGACATATGACATGCAGTGTGAGAGGGAAAATAAGCTTACAGTAGTAGCTTTGGTCAGTGCCATGAGTAGCCTGGTCCAGAGCAACCATGGCGTTCCAGGTCTGGTTGTTCATGGCGTGGGTCAGGGCCAGGTTGTGGGCAGTCAAGTCAAAGTGCTGCTTCATGTCGGAGAAGCGCAGACCGGGGGAGGTGTAGTCGTCCTCGGGGTAAAGCGACATGATCTCGTCAACAATGGCATCATTGATGGCGGGGAAGAAGATGCGGAGGTAAGCGGCAACGTCGTCGGTGGTGTTCACGCCATCGTAGGCCTGGCCGTTGGCCTCGTGCTGCTCGTGGGTGATGACGACGGGGCCAGAGAAGTTGAAGCGGCGCTGGTAGAACTGGGCCTCGTAGGTGTCGGCGATGATGTCGCCGTCAACGCGGGGCTGGAACTGGTAGTCGTAGGCGTCCTGGACCGTGGTGGCGGCCGTGTTGAGAGTGTCGAAGTCGATGGAGCGCATGCACTCGAGGCTGCCGCCGGAGCAGCCGGCCTCGGTGGAGACGTTTTGCCAGAAGGCCTCGGCGTGCTGGTGGCCGGCGCCGGGAACGAAGCCGGGGGACATGACGTAGGCACGGTTATAAAGCTGCTCGGCGCGGCCGGCGAAGCGATTCACAGGAGTTAGCTCATATGTCTGGTAGTCAGTTCAAGACGAGTACTCACGGTCATCTGGAAGAGAGTCTGGGAGCCACCGGCAGAGAAGCCAACGGCGGTAACATCGTCGGAGTTACCGCCAAAGTTGCTGATGTATTTCTTGGTCCACTCGAACGCGGCCGTGACGTCCCAGATGGCAGTGTTGGAGGTACCACCCTCGTGCAAGAAGGTAGGGCCGTTGGCAAGGCCGGTCATACCGAGGCGGTAGTTGTACGCGACGTAGACGAAGTCGGTGGAAAGGTCGAAGAGTCCCTCAGGGGTGTTCTCGGACTTGCTGCCACCGGTGAAGCCACCACCGTAGGTCCACACCATGACGGGCAGGTTCTTGCCCGCGGCATCAGCGGGCGCCCAGACGTCGACGTACAAGCAGTCCTCGGCGGAGCTGCAGGCGACATCGGCCGAGGCCAAGTCGCCGGTGTTGACTTCCGTCTCGACGGGGGGTGCTTGGGGGGCGGCCCATCGGAGATCGCCAGTGGGGACGGCGGCGTAGCGGATGTTCTGGTACTTGTAGTAGCCGACGGACTCGTTGCCGGCGGTAGCGACAACAGTGCAGTAGTCGAGAGTCACTGACGGGAGGGATCCGGAGCCAGAGGTCGCTGTCGGGGCCGGGGCGGTTGTCTGGGCCGCGGCCGAAGCTGCCATCAGCAGGCAGGTGTTTGTGAACCTCATCTTGATTTCGAGATTTGAAGCGAAGGTGAGTAGCGATCGAATGTTGTTGGTTTGCGATGCTCCTTAGGAGTCTTCCCGTTTCAAGGTCAACATCGTGGGGCTGTTTATATAACAGAAAGCCTACCACTTCTTGAACTCCTTTTTCGAGCGGACTTTTCACCAAGACGGTGATCGCCATTCTAACCGGTGACAACGACGCGTCCTCCGAGCCGGGTGACGTTGTCCACCTCTGAGCCTCATTTGCAAATCGTCATGCCACCCTCCTCGGAAAACCCAACATTAAGGATCTTTTCGACAAGCGAGCGTCGTGGGGAACATCTCTGGGTCTCCAAGGTTAAACAACTGCACAATTGGCCTATTTCGCTCGCAAAAGCCCCACCAAGAGGGCCTTATTAGTGGGATGAACTCTTAGTGTGGCTAAAGTTCATGAATCGCCTGCGCGGCTTCGCCATCCCTTGGCTCTAGCGCAAGGAACTTGCCGTCCCCTTTAACTCGATTTTGACTTTTTTGAGTACTCATCGGTTCCCACAAGTCTAAACACGTCCTTCACGGCTTTGGCTTTCCCCAGGTTCAGGATTCGAGAAGAGTCGTTGGCCCTTGGGGGCAGCGATGCTTGTAGCTTGACGTGCCGATCTTCAGCCCAGCCAAGCTTCGCGGAGTGTGGGAGGTGGGGTTGAAGCGAGAAGACGGGCCGGAACTAATATCGAGAACATCTCTGATCACACTCTACCCACTTCCCGAGTTGCGATGAACAACAAGGATCTAATAACTGGATATCAATCCTCGGATCTCCCGACAAAAGTGCTCATATTGTAGTGGTTTAGGTAGGTCTTGACCCAGTCGCCGTTTTCTTGATGACATTACTTAACAGTAAAGTCGCTCGTCTACCTTGGATTATTGTTCACAACTCCGAGGGGTTGAAAGCGAAACCAAGACTATACCAGCGAATTCCTAGCCTTTGGCATTCTCAACCTAATCGGGTAATTTGGTGTATACTAGACTGTTCCCTTATGGTGGTTCTATGACTGGTATATGGTAAGTACAACCAATACTGATGATTCAATGTACTCGAATTTTGCCACCTCATGTCAGGATTATCTCTTTGGCCACCACCACAACGAAATCCAACCACATTCGCTTCGCGACGTATTCCATAAACAGGAGGCAACTAGAAAATGGCTTCTGACTGATCACAATCTCGGCCTTTGTGAGCGTCTCCATGTGTTGGTAGTGGAACAGAATTTCGAGTTTGATTTGTCTGTCGCGATCATCAACGTCCTCAACAAATAATTGATGCTTGTCCGCAACGAAGCAAAGCAACTGAGCTTCGACGTGACTGGCGTGATGCAACCCCTGTGCAGAACTCGGATCCAGCTCGTGAGGCTCGAAAACGAACCCAATTCTCTTTGCAAAGCTTAGCGTCTTATACGCCCAGTAGTTAGAGTCTAGCTTGCTGAATTCGCTCCCAATCAACGGAGACTGGGTGCCGATGCCAGCCCAACCGCCAACGGCGACGACTGTCTCAAAGGATCCGCCTCGAATAAGGACACCTACCGTCTGATCCTGACGCGCGATCGGGATGCCTCGTTTTAAATTAATCAACACAGCAGTTTTCGCGTCTGAAGACTTGACGAACCGGGGTTGGGACAAATTGGCGAGATTCGTCTTGGCGAGTTGAGAATGAATAGGAGGCGCAACTCCAAGAAGAGCTCTAATGTGTCTCCGACGGCTCTTTGACTTGAACGGTTTCTCTGCGTAATCGACGTGGCGATACTCCCTCTCTTCGTCGTTTCTATCATTCTCCTCGGCAAAGTCGGCAGCAACTCTCCCGTCTCGGTCTTTCTGTGTCGCACTTGCCCCGGCGGCGAGGAGTATCCCGACCAATTCGACACGAGTCCAGAGGGCAGCCTCCATCAGGGGTGTGCGGCCTCGATTGTCCCCTGCATTAATGTCTACGCCTAGTCGAAGGAGTTCCTGCACATTTGTGCGGTTGCCGTGGGCCACCTCTATGGATAGTCTTGGAGAGCCTAGAGTTCCTTCAATGCGTAGGTCGTGGTTGAAGTGAGGGCAAGTCGGGTAGTCGTGAACGCAACCCCAACGATCCCCTTTTTCGTTTGCCTCTGTCCTAAACTTTGGCAAGTCCCTTGCCTGGGCAGAGCTGATGACATTGTCCCGTCTCTGGTTTCCAAAAGGAACAGCATGGTCTTTGATGCTGATGCTCTCAAAGTGGTCCATCAAGCTGTTGCTCTGACTTGACCGGGTAGGCTCCGGCAAAGGATTCACTCCGGGGTCCTGGAAACTAACCGTTTCGAAACATTCAAAATGGGAGTTGTCAGTCTTGTCAGATAGAGAGGTCCCGATCTGCCACGACAGCTTTCTCACAGCATCATGCTTTTCAAAAGGAAAGACAAGCCTGTATGTGTAGCCGGCAGTAATGCATGGTGCGATGAATAACCACATTGTCTCTGGCTCCAATCCTCGGAAAGTGTATGGACTGTTTGACCTCGGCTGACGTACACTCTCCTCGCCGCTTGGGAAGAAGCTGATGGTATGCCGATGGGGTTGTTCGCAGAAAGGACATTGGGCGAGTGTCCATGTCGTGTCCCATCGCAATACTCTTGCAATAGCTCGGGAACCGTTTAGTCGCTGAAACTTGGAAGCTAACGATAAGGAGGGAAGTGTTGAATTCTGTGTAGTCGAAGCCATAACAAGTCGTGGATGTGACGTGATGGCTTGAAAAGTTGAGTTCCTGCGGGGGCTGAATAATGACACACGCCACGATAATCAGGGAGAGGGAAGACAACAGACAAGAAATTCAGAGTCGCAATCTTCATGCATGTTACAATCTCGATGACCTGTTTCAATGTCCGATGAACGGTTTTGGCCTAGTTGGAAGGTTGAAGCTTAGTAACTGATTAATCCGATATGAGGACCAATCAAACTTGATGGTTTGCATTGCACTAGGACGGACAGCTTACTTCTCATCATGGTCTTCCCCAGTACTCTCGCGATGAGATTTGAGTTTTCGAGATTTGTGTCAAGTGCTTTTCAGTTATGGAAGGATAAATTTGTAATTGATGACTCGGTCGGTTTTAGGCTGTGGTTGGGATTAGGTAGAAGACCGCGTTGGGAGGTGTTCGTCATAGCGAATACGAACATCTGGGGCGTGGCTATTGCGATAATTGTGCGTGGCAACTCAGAATAGTCTCATGATATTACTTTGATGAGTCTGCACAACAACACTTCCGGAGGTCTCAATATCAAAGAACCGATATTGAAAAGCTCTACTAGGAAAGTCGCGAGGTCTTGATGGATACACAAGGTATTGCTATTACCTGAGCTCAAGGAAGGTGTCATCCGATATATTATCATATATGGCTCCCAGGTCACCATGAACCAAAGAATCAATGGAAGTTAGGAGCACAAGTCTTCTAAGTCTTTCCGGGTTTTCTTTCTTCAAGTCATCTCAATTCAAGATTCTAATAAATGAGTCGCGCAGCGCTCCCGCTTCCTCAAATTGCCTCCACTCTCCACGACTTGTCTGTAAATATATATCGAAGTGCTGCCAACAACGCTAGTCGGCTAGAAACACAAATGATGGTTGAAGGAATTTCTCCGTCGGAGATTCAATTAAAGTCTTGGGACTTTCTTCCTAGACGCTGTCATGCAACACTTCAACACCTTTTTATGTCTGGAATACCACCTAACGTGCCAGACAGACTAGAGAGTTTAGATCGCCCCAAAAGCAAAAAGAACTCCTCGACGGGGAATTGAACCCCGGTCCCCTGCGAATCCTTGAATTTCAATGACAAGCAGATATCCTCACCACTAGACTATCGGGGATTGGTGGATGTTGACATCCAGTGACAGTTGCTGGGTTGGCGACGAAGGACAAAATCCGTCCCATATAAGCTTGCATGAGACCCATAGACATCACGAGGAGTGCCATCACTGTTGCCAGGTTTCATCTATTTCGGATGGATGCCCTTGCCTCTAAAGCGCTAGATTTTTCGTGATGAGTAGTGACAACCACGCGGGTTCCAGGCGTCTTGATTTTTGAAGTTTAGATTATGTTCAAGCGATGTTGAAGACTAGTAGGTAGACGGAAATGATTCTTCGTTGGCGTACCTGACTCTCGGAATCCGCTCCTGTCTTGTCCTTCGGGATATTCTGACACGCTAAAAATCACCTTCACGCTTAAAGGAAGCGTCTTCCATAACCATGGCAGAGGCGCCCCGGTAGTGTCTGAAGTTTCGAACCGCCCTTATCGTAACCACCTAGGCTAAACCACAAGCTCACGCACCTTCCAAGAAGCAGCTGCGGGATCCCCTGGACTTGAACATTCTTTTTCGTACTTCCAGCTCTGCTCCATCCTTTCGTCGCAAGCAGAATACCAAGAATCAGTGTGGGGACAGACGACTCCCTTGGCTCACATAGGCTAGTCTAGCTTCCATGTCTTAGTATCAAAATGGCAAAGTCAGCTCGACAAGGTTCAGGATGCCGGAATACCGGAAATATCTGCACAGATAGATTAAAATGGTAGAGCTAATGATTACGATTCCAAGGCTAATTACCCCACAAAATGAAGAAAAACTGCCACAAAATGAGACGAATGTCTCACACAAGATTCAACGGCTTTCTGACTCGGACCAACGACAGGCCACTGACCAGCAAACTGACGCATCCACGCATTATTTAGCCCCCATTACCCATCACAACACCGGTACAAACCCGTCGCGACATATCGGCTCTTCTCTTCTACTACCTTTGGTGTTTCGCCTACCCCATTTCGAGTGGCATTCAACTCGATTAGCAGATGAAGAATCCCTCTACGGCCAATAGAATGAAGACTAGAAACATCTTGGTGACTGAGAAAGAGGAGGCTGCTTGAGACCCAGTCGAAGCCGAGACCTGAACAGGCGTCTGGGACTGCACACTCTGACTGGTCTGCGAAGGGGCGTTTGCTGAGGCGTTGGCTGAGGCGTTCCCGGTTACGGCCGACAAAGAATTTGCCGTCTCAAGGGGGGCGCTGCTTCCGCTCTGAGAAGCCTGAGTGATTGGGATCACGGTCGTGATGGTGGTTGGTGCTACACCGCCGGTCTCAGTGGGTGCTGCTGCTGCCAAGCTTGATGAACTCTGAATGAGGCCACCGGAATTCTGAGGAGAGCTAGCAGTATTGGCAATGATACTGCCAGACTTCGTTGAAGTAGATTGCGATGATGATGCAGCTTGCTCTCCGACCCCTGACTGTTGAACTAATGGGGCAGCAGAGGCGGTAGGGAGAATCGGACTTGGGCTAGGAAGCCCAAGAATAACGGTGAAGGTTGCTTTGGGCAAGGCGGTGTTGTTGCTCCACGGCGAGGCCCCATGAGGCGTCTCGGATATTCCACTGGAAGACACCGGGGGAGAGCCGGGAGAACCGGTAGGGATTGCCGTATGATAGGTATCTGAGCTCGCATTCTCGTTGTTGGTACTGACAGTAACTGTTTGCACTGGAGAGACAACAGTGACAGTGATAGGCACGGCAGAGCTGACGATCCCGCCACAGCCATCGTCCCTAGGACCAAGATGAGGGGCCGCAAGGGTAAGCCCAGCGAACAAGGACAAGAGTTGCGGATGCATGGTTATGTGAGGCAGGTAGTGAAATAGAGAATATGAGGTTTTGACGAGGGAACGAGGAGCCAATGTAGGTTGCTGAGAATTGGGACTGATGAATCTGAATGGCCCCAGAACGTGTTTGGATACAACAGTCTATATAGGCTGCCATACATGATCATTGTTGTTTTCCCTTATCACCAGCCCAACGCGGACAACTTCCTTAGCAATCGAAAATTGTCTGTATCCGGCTTTCGATGATTCTGCAGCCGACGAGATCCAGCCGACGGAATCTTGTGATGTCTCTTTACACTTTGACTCCATTCCGACTGGACTGCGTAAGATTTGACGGACTGGGAAAGGTCAACATTTACAAGCGACAGCAATCCTGGACTTTTCGAGCGGGGAATGGCCTAAGAGATTCAACTGAAAATTCTCTCGTCCATATAGAGACCTCGATACAGATGGCATGAAGTGAATGTTGTGACATCGCGCCAGATGTGAGGTATTATTTTGGAGCCCAAGCGCCGCATGTGGTGTTCTAGACCGTTTTCAAACAGAAATGAGGATCTTCGTCTTGGAACCTTCTCTTGGTAGCTGGATGTCGACTGATTGGTGTTTTGGGTGGTGGAGTGATGCTCAGCCAGGATGATGCCAGGGATAACGGAGCAATCCTTGTGTCTCTCAATTTCAGCTGCGATCTTGACCCACAGCATGCTCGACCCTCGGCAACTACGGCCGGTACTGGAAAGTCTACGGCGCTGTTGTTGGACATTGGAAAACATCTTCTCAAGAGGGAAGTGTGAGATGTGACACCAAGGGCTGAGGATAAGATGTCAGGCTATAATAGTCCAGATTATACTGTTTTCATCATTTGGATGCGCGTCTAGATCTCGAGCATGCACGTTCTAGGTCTCTGGTTTGCAAGGGCGGAGTTTCCATGGTACTCGTATGATCTGTAAAACTCTGTGAATTCCTATGCTCTAGTCGAGGAGCTGTGAATAGCTTACTTGGCTGCGATAGAAGCTGACTACAATTCTCCGCATGCGTTCCAGTTCAACCTTGTTGAATTTCAAGAGTCGACTAGACGGAATGTAACAGATAAGACAAACTGAGTAAGTTCTGTTCAGTACTGGCTGCACAAGAGCAAGAAAAAGTGTCTTCATATTCGCATATAAACTACATGAGATCTCGAGAAGAAAGGAGAATAATGCCATCACTCTCTTCTACTCCTTTATATCCTGTCATTCACTTAAACCTTCAGTCCCAGCAAACGTCTCCTTCACCCCCGTCCCAACATGCGCGCCTCAAGAAAAGCAGCGCTTGCCACTGCCTTGACTTCGGTCCTGGCTCCCAAGCTTGCGTCAGCCACCTCTAGCTGCCTTGCTCCCACCGGAGACCCTGTGACTGTCCAGGCCTACGTGATGGTCGAGCAGATCCCTGTTCATCTCAGTGCTGATATCTGTTCCAACACGACGTTGAGTGTTGCCGGTACTGTCTTGTCCATCACCAACGCTCCGACTTTCCTCGTGTCGGACTTTGTGGTCACCAGTACCATCACTCATACCTCTACTGTGTAAGCTCTACTATGATCTTCTGCTATGATCACTTATTTGGATCGTTCTCTCATACAATTTGTCTTAGAAACTCGGTCTCGACATATGATGGTCCCTGCGCTACACTTACTGCTCATGGCGGCCCTGATTCTGAGCCTACCACAATTATCATCCCTCCCAAGGGCGGGGATGAGGTCGGAACCAAGATCATCTGTACTCCTGCGATCACGGACAATGCTGCCTTCTCCGGCCCTTACACGACTATCACTGCAGGCCAGTGGTCTGGTCCGGGCACAAAAATTCTGACATTAGCCCCAGCCGGGGGTGACCCGACAGGTACCGTCATTGTTCTGGCTCCCGAATCATCTGGACATGTTGGGGCCCAGGACGTCTTCACCGGGCCCTACACCACCCTCACCGAGCCCTGGACGGGAAGCATCGCGACGACTGTCACTCTTCCACCCAAAGGTACCGATAAGACAGGCACTCAGATTGTTCTAAGCCCTACTGCCGCACCCGCTATCTTCACCGGACCTTACACGACGATCACCGGCACCTGGACTGGACTCCAGCCAACAACCCTGTCTCTAGCGCCTGAGGGAAGTGACCCAACCGGCACTGCTATTGTCTTCTTGCCGACATCTGCAGGCTTGAGCTCCTTCACTGGACCTTACACCACCGTTACTGGAGCTTGGACTGGAACAGCCCCTACCACTGCCTTCCTCCCCCCTCAAGGGACCGATCAAGTCGGAACTGAGATTGTGTTGACGCCTACCTCCTCCCCGACAATCACTCCCTTCACTGGTCCTTACACAACCATCTTTGGTCCCTGGACCGGAACAGTTCCTACCACTGCCATCCTTGCGCCTCAAGGAACCGACCAGGTCGGAACCCAGATCGTTTTGACGCCTACTTCTGTGGCCAGCTCTTTCACTGGGCCTTACACAACTTTGACCGGGCCCTGGACCGGCACTGTTCCTACCACGGTGACTCTTGCTCCATCTGGAACAGATGCCACCGGAACTGAAATCGTACTCGTCCCTACCACCGCTGAGACTACCTTCACGGGCCCTTACACGACTATCAGCGGTCCTTGGACTGGCACTGTCGCCTCCACGCTGTCAATTGCTCCTACTGGCACTGCTACAATTGGAACTGTGATCATCTTCACTCCGGCTGACCCTACGACTTCTGAAAGCGCCACTGCGTCGCTATCATCAGTTACCTCATCTGACCCAGCCACGAGCTCCAGCCAGACGTCGCCCCCTGCTAGCTCTTCCTCTGCCATCGAGACTACATCTTCTGCCGACTCGAGCAGCTCTTCTGAAACTTCCTCGAGCATTGCCTCCACCTCCCAGGAATCTTCTGCCACATCCTCTTCATCTTCTGAATCATCAAGCTCGACCTCCGTTGACCCAACCACCTCCACTTCTTCTTCGTCTATCACGTCAACTGAGCCTGTCACATCTTCGTTTTCCTCGAGCACAAGCTCTGACTCTTCGAGTACCACTCCAGCTTCGTCTGTCTCATCATCTGAGCCCTCTTCAAGCGCAACTCCTCTTTCATCCAGCTCGTCATCTGAGTCCCCCACAAGCTCAACTTCGTCTGCATCTAGCTCGTCTAGCTCGTCTAGCTCGTCATCTGAGTCTTCTTCCAGCACGCTGAGTGGAACTCCAACGACCACAACCTCGCAGAGCTCCACCATTTCCGCATGCGTCGTGACTGCAACAAGCACCTCGGAGTACTGCAACGTTGCCCTGCCTGGAAGCTGCGCCTCACTTTCCACTACTAATGGCCTCGCTCTAGTGCCAGTTCTGGCATCTTGCACCGTAGCCCTTGGCCCATACGCAGCAGGCAACGTTGCGACATGTCTTGCAACCAGCGTGAGTCTCACCACGACCGGCTCGGACATCGCAACCTGCATTCTTACCGCCCTTCAAGGGCGTTGTATCTCCACCCTGCCGACAGCGTGTACGGATTTGGCGTCCTCCAACGGCCTCGCTCTTGTCGCGGACGTGGCCCAATGTACCATTGCCTTAGGCCCCTTCGCCGCCGGTAGTGCCGCAACCTGTCTTGCAACAGGAACTATCACATCATCCACCACGGGCACGAGCATCATTCAGTGTCTCGAGATTGCTTTCGGCCTCCAATCCGGCGTGGTCACCATCACCAACTCCGCCTATTGCCCGACCGCCACAGCAACTCCTACGCCCTCGGTCTGTGCCACAGTCCCCGCGCCTTGCCAGAGCCTCGCCTCAATCAATGGCATTGCTCTCATTGCAGCGATCCCGGCGTGTACGGCAGCACTTGGTGCTTACGGTGTTGGAAATGCTGCAACCTGTCTTGCTACCGACGTCATTGGAGCTCTGAGTGTTGGACAGGACATCGTGACTTGCCTGACAACTGCTCTCAGTACACAGTGTATCTCGACTTTGCCTGAGCCTTGTCTCGCCCTGGCAGGTGATACTGCAGCGGAGCTGATCGTTGACCTGCCGTTGTGTACAGTTGCCCTTGGTCCATTCGCTGCTGGATCAGCCCTGACCTGCTTATCATCGACGGCTACCAACGGAGACTCGGTCATTGCCTGTCTCAATACCGCTTTGTTCCAAACCTAGGTCGAAACCGTGGTGATTTGAATGGCTATATGTAACAATCAAGTATGGGTGTTCCAAGACTTATTTTGCACTAGGTTAGTGCTTGGGCTCAGTCGTGTGGTGAGATAAGGGGGTTCGTAATCAAGCATGCATGTCGTGGTGGAGAGGGGAACGAACATGAATGGATATTGGGTGATCTTTGTGTGGCCGTTTTCACTTCTTAGCCCAATTGTTTGTTTATCTAAACTACCTATTCTAATGTTTTCGATAAGTTGAATATTACTGTGATGGGGAATTCACATGTCTGGAGTGTGATTCTTTGCTAGGCAGTCTTCACTGAGCTATTCTGGACTACCTCGTGTAGAAAAAGAGAAGCGGCATAGGCTATAAACCTTCTTATCCATGTTCTTCTCACTACATAATGCGGCTGCTATGGTAATTCTTTAGGGATTTTGCAATCTTCTGAACAATGTAGTCCGCACTTGTTTGTATAATTGTTTCCAAAAACAGACAGTATGCAAGTCGCATTAGCGTTTCGACCTTAGTAAACATGTCCAAAGTTTAGGCAGAAGGGGGCAGTAAGCGGGTCAAACTGTCCGTCGTCATTGGGAAAAGGGTAAGAAAACGAATGTTTAATGGCCAAAGCAGAGTCTCTTTATAGATAGGGATGGTCATTAGATAGCGTCTTTGGCCTCTGAATGACTGACAATCCAGGTTTTGCTTACTCTACAATCCCGCTTTACTCTGAGTGACCTGCTTGAATCCTTGCTCGCCTTGAATTTGAATCTTAATGCAGAAAATGTAGATCAGCCCCAGAGAGTTTTCAATGTCGATTTTATGTGATATCTCACCATGTTTATGGATAAGATGGTCGGTGTTCGTGCCCCCTTTTGGCATCATCCACCCTTTGTAGACTCGCAATCATGGCTGTAACTTGCTTTACTTGACTCAAGCGATAAATTTCTTTTCGAAGTCCACTTTCTCGATAGTCTGTAGAGGATCCTAGATTCGGGTACCACGGGGCAGCCAGATATCTGTCTCTCCTCCTACGCTCATCTGACCAGTTGCTGTTCCCATGCCCTGCTGTCAGTTAATGTAATCTTACTGGATGTTGCTACCATGACAGCACGGCTCAAGGTATGTGGTTCAAGGTAAATGCGGCCGAAATGCCTCAATGCTGCGTTCCAACTTGCAATAGGAGACAACGGAGCAAATATGCGCACGCACGGCTGTATAAGTATCTGCTTTCCGTCTCGATCTCGGACAAAGCCCGTCGAGTAATTACACGATTGGTGTTCAGACTCTAGTGGAATCATCTAAGTAGAACAATAGCAGCCGCGTGCGAGGTGAGCATTGTTTCTCCGTCGCGGCCTTCACCTGCCCGAGGCGGACAACGTACTTGCGCACACCAAAGAGCAGCCGGCGAACGAAAGTAGCTTCCGTGACCTCCACGCCGATGCATGCATGTAGACTATGGCATGGATGTTATGTGCCACCTGAGAAATTGTGGATAAAATGAGTTGGAAGTGTCCAGCCAGTGAAGTCATCACACCACCACGCTAATGCACTCTGAGTACTGCTATATCTAGCTTCCGGCAAAGAGGGAAGGGAGATTCCTTAACGCTTTCGGGCAAGCGATTACATTCTAACTCATTTGTGAACCCAAGTGATGAATTTAGTATTGGGAGCACAGGAAGCTACTCAATGAAAGCATCAAAACAGCATCCCACGGCTTAGGCGCGTCGTTGATCTCTTAATTTTCAAGACCCGTCGCAACTCGCAGACACACCGCCCATTCCCCGAGGCCGAAGTAGTTCTAATAACGGGTGGTCCAAGACTGAATTCGAGCCTAGACTCGCTAGGTTCATGCAGGTGTCAAGCACCAAGGGTCTAAGCACTTACGCAATGCCTGTCTGCCGGCGCATCTAATGACCGTTACGTTAGTCGGGGGTTGCATTCTGCCGCAACGGCTGAGGCTCAACGAATACTGAGGCGCTCTTGGCAGAAGCCAAGACTCATCGGCAGCCAAGCACAGTTGCTTGGATGTCCCACCAAGGCCTTAGAGGACCAGATTCTTGGTGTTTAACTTGAGCCTCATTTAGCAACTACAAAGTTATCGGCACTCTTATGAAAAACAACACGAAGATGTTCTTCCAAGAAAATCGCTGAATGCCGCTGTATCAATGAAACATGTCGAGTGTAATATCGAGCACGCACCACCGACAGGCGGAGGAACGATACACCACGGACAAGCTCATATATCCACTCCGGATAAGTCCCGCTCGGCGGCCTAGCGAAACACCGCAGACGGCGTTGACTCGCGCCTTCGCTTTCGCGCGCCCCCCACTCAAATGGGCCGATAAATGCGGTGTTTCTCGGAGGCGGACAGCGGGAGCAAGCAAGGTGATGGCCCCCAAAAGAATTACATCTAAGCAGGCAGAGTACGATTTCGGTGTGCATCCCGAGTCCAAATACCGTCAGGCTTGCTGATCGATACAACTTTTGTACGACGAAACTAGCATTCCCCACGAAGGGCGTATGAAAAGAGTGGCAATACTCTGCCGAAATTCCGTTTCTTTGTGTGCTTGCAATGTGCATGATGCAAGAGGCTCTTGAGCTTTCGGCCCTTTCGCTCGCCTTGCCTACGACGTCGACAACTCAATCTTTTGTGATATCTCCGTGCATCATTGGAAATTGGAAGGTGTCTCTGGGGCGTGTTATCTTCGTGTTGACATGTCTGATGATGAGTGCATGCCAAGAGATATCACCAAGGTCTCACAAGCTGAGACTCAGGCTGCCGAACGATTCAGGACCTGCCAATTCCCACGTCAACTGAGCACCAGACTTCGTCTGAATGGGATGATCATGGTGCATGTTTCTGGGGTTTTGCGGAGATGACAAAAGCTTGGCAGAAACGTTTTATCCAACGTATTGGCATTACCAATGAGACTTGAGGTGATTAACATATCTCGCAAGCCTCAATCCACACATTGTCTTCACAACTCCGCGATGAAACCCCAGGTCCTGCACGGCGGGAACTCCGAAGACTCCGGTAACCCACTTTATACCCCACGAACATACTGATGAACACCATCTTTCCAAGTGGTTCAGATGTCTCGATCAGGAAGCCCTCGACTCCTCAGATATCTCCGGGGGAATGGACTAGGGGTCGATGTAAACGGCTAGAGTGGACGCTATCCAGGGTGCATCCTCCTTCTCACTCCAAAGAACCGTCGGCCTGGCCCCACGTCTCCGCACTCTTCTCTCCTCTCCATGGGGGACCACGGAAGGCATTGGATACCTCCGCACTCTCGCACACGCGGCTCCATCATGGAGTTATCTATGCGCTTCGTGGGGCCATAGATCTGAGCTGAGACTAAAAGGACACTCATTTCTCCCTACTCCCTTAAATTATGGCGGCGGAAAAGAGGACATCACACATCTTGTGTCTCTTCTTCTTCTCGGTTCCCTTGTTCCTTTTCTTCGACTGCATCTGCATTTGTGTGCGTGTTGCTCGCTGAAGCACTCCAAAAAGTAATGGGTTCTAAAAAGTACTTTGGCTTGACGGGCAACGCCCTCAACAATCTGAGAATCGCCCTCATCATCGCGCCCAGTTTCATTCTCTATGGTTATAACATTGGCGTTGTCGGCGGCCTGTTAACGGAGGAAGATTGGGTCAAAACCTTCCCCGAGATCGACACCGTCAATACATTTGGGGCCGAGAAATCGGCCAACTCTACGCTCCAAGGATTCATCGTCGCCACGTTCACAATCGGCGCAACCATCGGCTCACTATCCTGTTCATGGACCGGCGATGTCTATGGTCGCCGCAACATTATCTTCGTATCTGCCATCATGACACTCATCGGCGAAATTCTCATGGCATCTGCCTTCGGTCTCCCTCAATTCGTCGTTGGCCGTGTTCTCACCGGCCTTGGCATCGGACAGCTTAGCTCCATCGTCCCGGTCTGGCAGTCTGAGACTTCCGCTGCTGCTAATCGCGGCCGACAAGTGGTCATTTCTGGCGTGTTCATGTGTGTAGGCTATATGCTCGAATCCTGGATCGATCTCGGCTTCTTCCAATTCCACTCTGGTCCGATCACGTGGCGTCCGCCTCTGGCAATCGCCGTGTTCTTCTCCATCGTCCTGATGGCCTCGATTTACTTCTTCCCGGAATCACCTCGATGGCTTGTCATGAAGGGGAAGTCAGAGCAAGCTCGTGCCGTGATTTCCGTGCTGAAGTCGCTCCCGGCGGATTCGATGGAGGTTCAGGCTGAGCTGTGTGGAATCGAGTATTCCCTCGAAGAAACCAAGGGCACACAGGTCTCCTTAAAGGATGTCCTGAAGATGGGCGAAGATAAGCTTTTGTATCGCTTCTGCCTCTGCATGTCGCTTCAATTCTTCCAACAGATGGCGTAAGTTGCCCTTACTCGACTTGTTTTTCACACCTACGGTTTGACTGACTCTGAGTGCAACAGTGGTTCCAATCTTGTTAGCGTGTACGCGCCCATTCTTTTCCAACAAGGTCTCGGTCTCTCTAGCCAATATTCTCGCATTCTCAGCGGCGGAACTCTGACCTGGAAATTTCTGGCCTCCTTCATCGCCTTCTTCACGATCGACCGGTTCGGACGCCGCGCAGCATTCATCGTCAGCGGCACCGGAATGTCTCTTTGCATGATTGCACTCGCTGTCGCAACATCATTCGGCACCAGCAACTACCCTGCTCAAATCGCAGCCGCCTTCTTCATATTCCTCTACAACACGTGGATCCCAATTGGTCTCATGGGCGCAAACTACCTCTACTGCACAGAGGTCGCACCACTGCGTCTTCGCATGGCAATGAGCTCCATCTCGACGGCGAACCATTGGCTTTTCAACTTTCTCGTCATCATGGTCACGCCCGTAGCTCTAAACACCATTGGATGGCGCTACTACATTGTCTACGCCGTGATCGCAGCTGCGATGCCGGTGACGGTCTACTTCTTCTTCCCTGAGACGACAGGGCGTAATCTAGAAGAGATTGACTTGTTGTTCCGCGAGTCGCCGTCCATGATGGCCACAGTCAAGTATGCCAAGACAAGACCAATTGCCATGCCGCAGGAGTTCAACTCTGAGAAAGGCGAGAAGGCGGACCACTTGGAGGGAGCTTGAAATTACCAGAACTGTACATATAACAGGCCAGAGTAAGACTAGATGATAGGATATCCCACTTCCAGCGGCGTTGGCTGGGGCATCTCATGATCATTGCGAAGGGTCAATGTTATTTGCAATACATCGCGAAGGCCATATTATTCAGTAGAAAATTTCCACATTATCTCATGCAGGTCACAAGATTGTGTGCAGAACGCCCCCAAAATCCAGCCGTCTGCCGATTTGAGGTACCTCCTCTCAGCTGGGCTATCTCATTGACTGTAAGAAGGTGTCACTGCATACGTGTCTAGTCCATCTCCGATTCTGCTCCTTCTTAGTTTTTCGACATCAAATCATGCTTGTAAGGGAAAAACATTCAACTTATTCGTGATTCAATGACATTACTCTAAATAAGTATTTGTGTATCTGTACCTACGCCATCTCAAAGTCGATGAGATAGTATGGTACTTCGATAGTAAGAGAACGCACGTTGACAAGCAGCCACCCATTTACTGATTACCACACTTTTACCTGCAGCAGATATGCCAAAGAAACTCTGATAAGCCAGGTTTAGTCCAGAGTTCAATCCGGTCAAGAGAAAAAGTACCAGTACGGCCAGTTTGAGGGCCATACTGGCGTTGGGCAGCTGATCGTCGAACAGGTATCTTCTTTGCTCCAATATTTGCGCAAAAATTCCAGTCATCATGGCACAAGTAGACGAAGAATTAGAAACGCTCGGCGATTCTATGTCAATTGAAGCGACAGCCTACAAGGCTACTGGCCTCGAGTCATAGAATTCGTTCAGAAATCCATGAGATGCTCAAGAGACCGAATGATAGGAAAGATTCTGCGCAGTAGTAGGAGCGAGCTAGCTATCGCGGTCTCTGGTAGGATGTCTAGAAGGAGAGGCATAAGACCCCCCCTGTGAGCCCAAAGAATTCCAATACCTCAAAGGAGATCTCCAACACACTACGTTTAATCTCTTATCGGTAAGGTAGGCTGGACGCAGCGCGAACGCTCACTCTTCAGCGCATTTACGGTCGCCGTTGAACTCCTTTAGAAGGTGACATCATTTGCCGACAAGGTATTACGGAGTACAGCTTGGTCAGCTAATGATCTCAGATGGGACTACCGACGAGGGGTCCTGCAGCCCAGATCTAAGATCACAGATGTCGCGCTGGGCCAAGATTCTTAGCAGTCCAGCCAAGACTCTTGGCTTGGCTTGGCCTCACCTTGGCTTCACTTGGCTTCACTTGGCTTCACTTGGCTTCAGTGCAGACGTCGATCCACCTTCAAGGGATCGAACCTAGATCCAACATCAACTTCAAGATTGGTTGGATCTTCAACTGCATGCTTGATGTCGTAGATGTGAGAAAAGCCCAAGAACGACGTGCTAGAGACAGCGACAGGTCAGGATAGAGGTGAGTTTGTGTTTGAGCATAACCTCGGCGCGAGATCGGGGCGGATGTCCCCTAAAATGGCAAGGTGACAGGCCGTTAGTGGTATCCGCTTCATTTCCCATCCGGTTTTCGCATCTGCCCCTCAACTCTGTTGCCCTGTCTAGACGCGTCGAACGCATGCTTCCTCGTATCATGTTTGCTTGTATTTCCATGAGCGAAATCATTCTTTGCGGCATGATAATCACTCCGAGGCCGATTGCCGTGGCTCATGATTAGATGAGGCGTAAAGATTCAGCTCTCAGCAGCCTCGAGGCGATGGTATTCGCGTCCCCCCACCCGCCCACCCGCTCGTTTAGCAACTTCCGCAAGTGATTCCAAGTACAGTCCAAAGTGGCGAGTTACGCGCATACGCGCATCTTCTGGCCAGGAACTCGCTGATAACAGTAAAGCGGACATGGCCGCAATGTCCACAGATGGCGCTCCCGCGATATGACCTGATGCAACAATACTCATTCTTTTCCAATGAATTGCCAGGCCATACCCTGCTCATTACCTAAGGACCTCCCCTTTTTGCACCAAATCCCACAATAGCCTTCCTAACTTGCTTAGTCTTGAGTGTGGGATTCCCGCCCATGCGTCTTAATTGCCGGTTTCCCCGGCCTCTCTTGCGGCGCTGCACCGGGCCCATCCGCTTCCCCTTGTTGCCCACATACCGAGATCACCAGACTATCCCGATGCTATCTGCTGTTTACCGCGTTCCTTTTGATTTGCTCAATGGCTTTCTGCCAGCTTGTGGTATGCACGCTACCCACCCTCTGCCTTCCGCACCTCCTCGACATGGATTGAGTTCCCGAAGCTTTTCTTGAATAGACTCAAGCTACCCCGACAAGTCTTAGTTATGCTTGATTTAGCTCGGTTTAGCTCCTGCCAGATCCAGACTAGCCATGCTCATCGTGAACCGCCCACATTTACGACCGGCGGAGACGTGCACTTTGAGACTTACCATTGTGATCTCACCTTCTTGACGAAGAAATTGCTCCGATCTGGCTTATCAGAGCCCTGTGATTGTTGGACCTTGCTGACATTCGTTCATGATATCGTCGGACAGAATGAGAACAAATTGAGTATTTATATAGCCCCGGAATCCGCGAACAAGTCTCATAATGCTTCTTTTCACCTCTCTATCCACTCATCCCTCGTCCCTCAGGTCTCTAGGTCAAAATGGTTGCCAAGGCTCTCTCCGTCGCCCTTCTCGCTGGTGCTGCTTCGGCCACCTGCCCTCTCTCCATTGAGATCAGCAATGCCGAGAACCACACCGTCAACGTTGCCGTCACCAACACCGGCAACGAGGCCGTCTCCGTCTTCAAGGGCAACACCGTCTTCAGCGACCATGCCACCCAGGACCTCCTGGTGACCGATGCCGGTATGTAACAGCGAGCACTTCTATGTTTGAAAGCAGTGTCTAACAAATAACAGAGGGCACTGCTCTTCCTTTCGAGGGTATCTTCGTCAACTACAAGCGCACTGGCCTCGACGCCAAGCTCTTCCAGAAGATCGCCGCCGGCGAGACCATCACCGTCCCCGTCAACGCCGCCAAGAGCTACAAGCTCGACGGTATTGCCGACGCCAAGGTCACTGCCATTCAGGGCTTCCGCTACGCCGTCGGCGACAGCATCCCCTCCGCCTTCAAGGACCTGGCATCCTGCGCTGATGTTACCTCCGGTGAGGTTGAGGTCACTGTTGACCAGACTACCGCTGCTGAGTGGGTTCCATCACAACATTCACAGCAACTGCAACTCCTTACTGACATGACTTTTGTAGGGACCACATCTCCCGCAAGCGTGATGAGACCTTCAACTCTCGCATCCAGAAGCGTGCCATCACCTACTCGTCCTGCACCACCGCGCAGACGACCTCCCTGAAGACCTCCGTCACCAACGCCATCTCCATGGCCAAGGCTGCCTCCACTGCGGCCGGCACCTCTTCCTACTACTACACCACCTGGTTCAAGTCGACCTCGGTCGCCTCCAAGGTCCAGACCATCTACAACGATGTCGCCGGTGTGCAGACCACCTCCCCCAAGATCTCCTGCACGGACACCTACAGTGACTGCACCGACGGCAGCGCCCTCCTCTACACCGTCCCCTCGGACAACGTCATCGTCCCCTGCCCCAACAACGGCTTCTGGGGCTTCCCTGAGCTCGCCTCCCAGTGCTCCGGCGACGACTACGACCGCGCCGGCAGCATGCTGCACGAGATGACCCATCTCTACGGCACCACCGACTGGGCTTACGGCCCCACCGCCGCCCAGGCCCTGTCTGCCACCAAGGCTGCTGCCAACGCCGACACCTACGAGATGTACGCTGAGAGCGTCCGCCTCGGTGGCTGCACCACCGGCTAAGCATGTTCGTCGCAATGACGCACATGCATAGTTTGGTCTGGGAGCTGTCTCCTCCCGGGGATTGGCGCCCTTCCTTCTTTCAATGTCTATAATTCAGTTGGCGGTTCGGGTAGAGTGGGAACTACCGCGAAATATTTATATGCCTGGGGGGAGCTTGATCGGGGAGTGGCTTGATGTAAGCTGAGTGCTAGAAGTAGCCTATGAAGTAACGGTTGAACTCCTGAAGTTGTCAAATTATTGAAAGTGATCATTCTCCGCGTGAAATATTGCTCGAATAAGCCAATTCCCTTTTGCCAGCTCAATTGGGCTTTGCGCACCCAAACTTGAATGTCACCGGGTAGCTTATGACCTTATGATTAGCAAGCCGTAGTGTTAACGCTTGATCATGGATAAAGTCATATTCTTACACTATTCCCACTACGTCCTTGGGTCCTTGCCTACGATATTTGCCAAATTGTCTCTTTGAAGTAAGTATGCGGGGCACCCAGCGCCCCGGCGTAAGAGGTCCAGCTCGTCACTTTGCCAGAAGTTCAATCATAGGCTCCAGGCCGGCTCATTTGTGGGCATGAAGTTCCAATCGCAAACTGCTGTCATCCAAAGCACCGCGTGCTTCCATGTTCTCTTCATGCACTGGTGTCAAAGGTCTAACGCTCACTTGTGATGCGCGTCACATGAAGCTGACGGGATAAAGAGTCAAGGATTTTCTATTTGACGGTTGGTCTCATGGAATCGCGTTGACGGGAGTTGATAGCATGTTGAGAGAATCTTCGCTGAAGATTCGAACCTTACTTAGACGCATACAATAAAAGTAACCTGACGGAACAAAGTATCTTGAACTTTCGAGTGGCGGCCCCAGATGACTCTCAACCAAGTACCTGTAAAAGCATTTTGAAGAGCGAAATTTGTACTTGATCAGCAGGGCCTTCCCGCCGAAAGCTTGCTAGAAATAGACATGATCAACAAGGTTCATAGTTGTCCCTGGGTTAACAAAGCTTAGTAAATTACAGCCCCATAGGCATAGGGTTGCTAGCATCACCGTGAACCCGATCTCGTATTTCATTCATGATTCTACGGCAATCAACATGCTGACTCTTCAAGAGTGTTGTAGAAAATGTCAGAGGTTTTTTTTTTTTTTGTCTCTTTTTTTTTTTGCGGGAACTATGAGTTTGGACCTTCAAACGATGATAGCCGTTCCTTTAGCTCAATTCTCAATAAGTCGACGACGACCTCTCCTGGAAGCAGACTTCTGCATCAGTCACTGTTTCCTGCATCACCTTCGTCACTTTCTGGGTACACTCTTGGCCTCCTCTAACCGGCTTAATTGACGCAGGAATCGCGAGGGAGAAACGATCAGTCTTCGCAACTCAACCGCACTCGGGTTTAAAAGGACCTTACAGCAACGCAGCGGGTCCAATTAATTTTGATCGCCCCCGCCGGAAAATAATATTGGCGTCGTCATTTTCCGATGTGCTGCCAAGACCAAAAACGAAAAATGGTCGAAAGATTTCGCAGTCAGACTGGGAACATGAACATTGCAATTCCCAACTTCACTCAAAAGGGAAAACTTCCTCTAATCCTGGAGGCTGACTCAGCTCACGAAAAACAACCACAATAACGAGAATAGCGACTCTCACTGCTCAGGGGTAAAGCGGGGACGACAAAAGCGCCCTGCATGTGGGAAACGGCACTTCCGGGGCCCCGGGGAACCGTTGCGTTGACGGGCAGCATCGCGCCGGCCGACTGGGCGTTTATTGCGCGTGTAACGGCCGCTTGTGGTATGACTGATGGAAGACGGCCAGCAATGCGACAACCCAGCTACTATCGGCCTGTCACCTGTCATGATTTGTTGGCTGTTCTCGTTCGCCCGATCGGAGGGTCAACCGCCGGTCGGCACCCCCAGGCTGGCCGCGCCATGTAACGCTGGCTGCAATGCACGGCATCAACCAATACCGAAGACGCACGAAATGCTTTTAGCTAGAGTTTCAGAATGTTCGACCTCGGCAGCCCGCTCAACCACTTGTTCTGCGATCTGTACGGCTAGTCTCCGTAGAACAGACTCTTTCTTTTTGGTGGTACACTAAGCAAAGCAGAGTTTCCACCCTGAGGAACTGCTCTCCGCCAAGGTGGAAACGAAACCGTGGGGGAGCGGTCGGAGAAGGGTGGCATAGGTGGGCAATGGGAGGCCTTCCACAACCAAGCTGTTCCTTGAAAGGGGGTCGACAGCTTCGTGGAAGATAGTTCGAGAACATGCGATTGCGAAGCCCGAAAGAGAGAGAGAGAAAGAAAGAAAACCTTGCTCCAGTTGCCACAGTCCAGACCGAGCAGCCAACCAACACGCAATAAACGAATCAACACGTCCTGTCCAGTCAGCTCCCCATGGTTCCATCAGGTAGTAGAGTTCATCCCCATCAGCCAATCTCCAGTATTTCCATGAGAGCACGGCATCTTTTGTGACGCATAACTCTGTAGACGGGCTTGACAACCGCGCCTTCGTGGCCACTCACTGCGCCATGCTTTCCCCTTCCCGCAAGGGCCAAGGCTCCAAGACTCCCAAGAGTCCAAGTTAGGAAGACCCAATGTGGCAGTCATTCGCCCAGTCTGATCTCCTGTTGCTTGAATGCAGTGCAGCGCAGCAGACGTAAGTGCCCAGCTCCGTCCCGGGCGGCCCGGCGCAAGAGGAATCCTTGGAATCGAAATGGAACCCAGGCAAACCTTTCATTGTTGTTGGCCCGCCCTTCTAAGAATAGGGGGCTCGTGCTGGGTGCATGTTCGCAGCTTCGCATACCGACAGGGCTGCCGCCGCAGAGATGCAGACGCGCAGAATTTGGGATCCCGTCTTTGCCGCTCGGGGCTCAGGGGTTACATGTATGTCCGCATTCCTGCATGGAGCACAACCGCACCTCGCAAGCCTATCAAGATGAACATACTGGTCTTCTTCAACACTCTCAGTCTCCGTACCAAAGATGGCCGAACAGCTCGTAGGGAGAAAACTTGAACATCAGACCAAACGTTTGGGTTCGCGGCACCTGGGTGATCCCTGCCGGCAGTGGTCGTCAGCCCCCCTGCTCCGAGTCATTCGCGCGCCTCTTTGCGGTTGACGTTGGTCCCAACGGCCCCAGAAAAGCAATTAGTTTGCTTCGTCAACATGGGGCTATGGTAAACTCTATTGTAGTGCTCCGTAGGGGGGACTCCTCAACTCCTCAAGGTTGTGAACAGTGTTGGCCGCGAGTTGTCGTACGACGAGCGGGAAGATATTTAACCAAACCGAGCCGTCACACCAAAATTCGGATGCTGTTGGTTTGCCAGCTTAGCCTCGAGCTGAACATCTTTCCAACTTCACTACATTCTTTATGCTCTAGTTCGTTCTACTGTTCACAAACAGCATCATGTCATTCGCTCAACTTTCGCTCGCGGCCATCTTGGCCGTGGGCGCTTCCGCCGCGCCTTACTCTGCTCGCAACGTCAACACCTCCGGCGTTGTCGCATCCACCTATTTTGCGGGTTACCACGCAAACCGCGGATTCCCCGTCTCTGACATGCCGTGGGACAAGTACACCGACGCAAAGTACGCCTTCGCTGAGACCGCCGCCGACGGCAGCCTCAACCTCACAAAGTCGGCCCCCGACCAGCTTCCCGCCTTTGTCACGGCCGCCAAGGAGCACGTATGTTGCCCGTAGATCACTTCAACATGTAGCAGAACTAAACCCCCCGCAGAATGTAAAGGCCCTCGTCTCCATCGGAGGCTGGACCGGCAGCCGCTACTTCAGCACCGCCTTCGGTAGCGCAGAGAACAGAACTGCCTTCGTAAAGACCTGTCTCGACTTTGTCGAAAAGTACAACCTCGACGGCCTCGACTTCGACTGGGAGTACCCCAACCGTCAGGGTCTCGGCTGCAACACGATTGCAAAGGACGACACGGCAAACTTTGCCTCCTTCCTCACCGAGCTCCGCCAGAAGCAGACCAAGCAGCTCTACCTCACTGCCGCCACCAGCTTGAACCCCTGGAACAACGCCCTCGATGTCGCCAGCACGAACGGCACCCTCTCATCCTTCGCCAGCTCCCTCGACTACCTCATGGTCATGGGCTACGACATCTACGGCGCCTGGGCCGCCACGGGAGGTCCCAACGCGCCCCTCGCCATGGCGTGCGATACACGCAACAACCAGGGCGGTATCAAGGAGGGTGTTGAGAAGTGGATTGGCGCCGGTATCCCCGCCAACAAGCTCGTCCTCGCCGTCGGTGCCTACGGCCACGGATTCTCCGTCAACTCTACCAGCGCCTTCTCCTCCCCTGGTGTCTTGAACGCCTACCCTGTCCAGAACAGCACCAACCGATTCCAGGGCAGCAGCTGGGACGACGACCCATCCATCGACGAGTGCGGCGCCGCTTCGCCTCCTAGTGGAACCTACACCTTCTGGAGCATGATCAAGGAGGGCAAGTTCCTTGACGAGACAGGCAAGCCTCGCGACAGCATCGCTACCGGATACGACAACTGCAGTCAGACTGTAAGCACTATCTCCACTCCTGGTATCTTCACACTTGTATAGTGACTAACACAACGAATAGCCTTTCCTTTACAACGAGACTGCTCAGGTGTGGGTTTCCTACGACAACGTCCAGTCCCTGACCGCCAAGGGCAACTACGTCACATCCAACAAGCTGGCTGGCTTCGCCATGTGGGAGGCTGGTGGTGACTACAACAACATTCTTGTCAACGCTATCCGCTCTGCGGTTGGCTTGTAAGGGAGTGCTTACAGTCAAGCGTGCATTTTTAGAAAAAAAAGTCTCAGCGACAAGTTGTAATTCCATCATCTACGGAGTACATAACATTTCCTTCTCATACCCTGTCAGAATAATTTCCATATATTCAGCATCAGAACTTTAAGTTGCATGCAGTAGTCATGAAATGTGTCTTTCAACGTCGTCGAATTTCGATCCTCGAAGTCCAGTTTGGTGCCTACTGTGACACATTTGCCACGGTATCTGTAATTGAGTTTTGTGCCTCGTCAGATGAATCAGTCACCCTTGAATTGAGCGGGCATGGTTCAAAGGATGTGCGACATCGACCACTACATCACTCCGAAGCCTTCTCCTATTTTCTCTTCTCTGATCATTCTGTCTCTCCTGTAAAGTTTCGAGCCTTAGAGAAAGTTTTGGAAGGGTCTTCTGACTTGTATCTACTACTCGATAGCCCCCTCGAGCCTAGTAAGAGGAAGGGTGACTACCGGCAAAGCTGTGGGGTGTATCGCGGTCATGAAGTCAAAGGATCCATCTGAAGATGACTATGGTATCCTACATTATTTAATCTGGTAGGAATATGCATCGAAATGCATAATATTGCGGATTCGTGGCTCACAATATGCTCTTTGACGCGACCAAACGTCTCAACCTCACCAGCACCTGGAAGGAAGCAGGTTTTTCATGAAGGCTCCTTCCTCGAGTAAGATTTGGCCTGCCTGCCTAAAGTTCGATTCTAGACAATTTCATATCCTCAGTAGGGCGAGAATAAAAACCCCTCTCTTCTTCCTACTGAGCGATAACTTCCACCCACCATCACCACATCACTCGCATAGCAATCTCGCAACCCATATTTCTTCACTCTAGACCCAAAATACCACGACTCCTCAGATCCAAGATCTCCATCTCTCAATATCATCCATTTGATAACGACTCACATTTATCCCCTCGCCGTAAGTATCACGAAAATCCCACTTGACCACACTCATCCTCATCACCGCGACCCATCTACTAACAAATTTCAACAGAAACCCATTCGCAACACCACAAACCCTGCAATAATGGCTCCCAAGACCGCCACCGCCGAGGCCGCCAGCACCCTCAACCTCACCGACGGTGAACTCAAGCTCGCCCTCGCCATGATGAAGCATGTTGAGCGCCCCACCACCGCCGTCCTCGAGAAAATGGCCGAGGAGGCCGGCCTCTCCGGCGCCTCCAGCGCTCGCACCCTCCTCGCCCGCGCCGCCACCAAGCACGGCTGGTTCACCGGCGGCACCGCTGCTGGAACCGCTGGCAGTGGCACCGAGAATGGCGCTGCTTCCACCACCACCACCCCGCGCCCCAAGAAAACTCCTACCCCTCGCAAGAAGAAGATCGCCGAGGTCGAGGAAGGTGCTGAGGAGGAAGGCACGCCTACCATGAAGCGTGGCCGCAAGACTAAGGCGCAGAAGGCTGCGGAGGAAGCTGCTGCTGCTGTGGCTACTGCCGCTGCGGCCGCTGACCAGGAGGATGAGGATATGAAGGAGGATAGCGATGGTGCTACCAAGGAGGAGGCTGGTGCTGCTGAGGGCGGCAAGGAGAAGGATGCCGATGAGAAATAAGATGGTCGCAAGCTATCTTGAGAACTTCATCTTGTTCATTGGATTCGGCAGGGGGAATGGATGGGTGACTGCTCTTTCTGGACTCTGGATTGATGATACCCCTCTCTTGGCTTGAACTGCTGCCGTCTACATGTAGCTGCGTGATTGCGACGTATGGTCTTGGGGATTAGTTAAGGCTTCATAGTACTGGATGGCAGTGCTTAGCACAAAGTACTTTCGGAAACAAAACTTCTTATCGCATAGTGACATTGAATTTTTTCGTGATAAGTGAATGATGTCTGTTAATGTCCTATAAATAATGACTGGGAGCCCGCGATCAAGCGATGGCTGCGAACTACCACAATACGTGAAACTTTTCAAAAAGATGTGATATGGATAGAACACATCAGCATAGGACCTCATCATGTACGATCAAAAAAAGGAAAACCCGTCAACGCGCAGTGACGCGCTTTGGCATCCTCCGCGCATGTCATGACATCATCCGCCCTACCGTCTTCAACACGTCTAAAAAAGTCGACGTTTTCCTCAACAGTACTTCATTCCTGAAGACATATAATGATTGAAGCTCGACTGAACTACTCATCACACCACCAATTTACACATAAATGCGCATAAGAAGATCGCAATGACTCAACGAACCGAAACGAAGTCCAAAAATCCTGACGATGAAGCCGCCAACGTCGGCACCAAGCGCAAAGCCTCAGAAACCTCGCCGTCCAACCATACCGAGGATGATGAACCCAATACCAAAAAGGCCAAGACCGAGAACTCAAAGGCAATGGTCGAGTGGCTCCTAAGTGATGAAGCCTTCTCCCTCGCCTTCCCAGCTCTCCCACCTGGCCACGGCGAAATCGACTGGGACGAAGGCCAACACCGCAAAGACCCTCCTCCCGAAAACGCCGGGAAGAAACAAGATAACAGCGATGGCAATAATGAAGGCAATGATGACGGCAAAGCACACCGTCTAACATACCCAGACTCCACGCTCACCCCCTTCCAAAACCTCGTGGCCGCCCTCCTAATAAGCAAACCAATCTCCCACCGTTTAGGCCTCCGAACCCTCAACACATTACTCAACCCGCCCTTTCGCTTGCGCACGCCGCGGGACCTCGACGAAGCTGGGTTCGAGGGGCGGAGGAAGGTGATGTGGGAGGCGAGGACGCAGCATAAGGAGAAGACTGCTGTTCAGTTGGGGGATTTAGTTGAGGGGGTGAGGAAGATTTGTCACGGTGGAGGGGGTGATGATGATGAAAGTGAACAGGAACAGGAAAAGGGAAAGGAAGACGAGGGGGCTGTCGAGAAGATGACGGCGTTGAGAGAGATGGTCAAAGGAATGGAGGCCGAGGAGGCGCAGAAGAAGGTTGAGAAAGTGTTGACTGATGGGATTAAAGGCGTTGGGCCCACTGGTGCTGGGATCTTTTTGAGGAGGGTGCAGGAGGAGTGGGAAGAGGTGTTTCCTTATGCCGATACGAGGGCTCTTGAGGCTGCTGTCGAGTTTGGTGTCATTCAGGAGGGTGACGGCGCGGAGGAGTTGGCCGATGCGGTTGAGTGGGATCGGGGCAAGTTTGTGAGGATGTTGGATGTGCTTGTCGGGATTCAACTTGAGAAGAAGATGGAGGAGGCGCTGAAGATGGCGAGGGGAGGTGGGAAGTAGGTCACGAAGATGCGATTCGGTCGGTTTCTTTTCATGATTCATTAGCTTGAGCTATCATGGCAAGATGGCCGCCTGTGGATCAATCTAGCCTCGATGATGTCCTTTTTCCTTGTCCAAATGCAAATTCCCTCTGATGCCGCTGCACTTTGCCTCCTATGCCTGTTTTCATCGCACGTTTAGGACGTTTTAGTAATGAGGGTTCTCGCCGTATCCCTGGTTCTGTTGATAGCCCTGGTTCCCTCCGTGACTCTGGTTTCCTCCGTAGTTCTGACCCTGTCTGTGGTCGTAGCCTTGGTTCTGGTTTTGGTTGTAATTCTGATTGTAGTTCTGGTTCTGACCCTGGCCCTGGCCCTGGTACTGATCCGAGTGGTATTGCTGGTATGAAGATGGGGGCTGATTCTGGTCAGGCCGGTACTCCTGATGTGATTGGTGCTGCTGCTGCTGCTGATATTGCTCGGGTCGGTACTCCTGGCTAGGGGGAGGGTTGTACGACTGCTGATGCGAGCCTTGCCCACCATACTGCTGCGATGGAGGGGGCGCGTAGTCACCGCCCTGGGACTGGCCCGAGTGATGCTCACCGCCAAGCTGAGATACCGCCGTCGGCGCACCAACGCTGACATTCTCGTTGCCAATGTCATCCGGCACGTTGATCTTGACCTTGGGAAGGTACTTCTGCACCTTTTGCTCGACGATATTCTGCACAAACACCCAGCTCTCGCGCTCAAACTTGCGGTGACCACCGTTGACAACCCCGAGGATACTCTCCCGCAGCGTCTCCTGTACCTTGCGGACCAGGGCTCGGATCTTGTTGACCAGCTTCACCTTGATATCATCCCCAAACCCGCGGTCCGCGTGTCCGCCAGCGTCGCGGTCGAGCTGAGAGTCGAATGGGTTTCCGCCTAGGATCTTCTCCAGTGGTAGCTGGAAGGCGTCCGGCAGGAGCTCGAAGAGCTGCTTTTCGATGGCACCGAGAATCTTGCGGAACTCTAGACGGACTTCCCTGTGCACCTTTGCCAGACCCGTGCTGAGCTTGTCGCTAATGACCTTGGAAAATCCACCCCTTTCGCCTTCACCCTCGGCACCGTCGCGATCACCGATACCGCGGCTACCCTCTTGCGAGCTCTTCTTGTTTCCAAACAGGCCTCCAAGCCCCTTGACCAAATCCTTGACTTGGTCTTCAATCTCACCCTTGACGCCGTCGCCGAGGTCCCGCGTGCTCGTGTTGCCGCGCAGCCAGCGCTTGATGTGCTCGAGCGCAATCTTGGTGAACTGCTCCGCAATAGGCGCGTGCTGCTCCCTCAGCTTCATGCCAACTTTCTCCTTGATCTCAGGACTGATCACGCGAGCCTTCTCCTCGGGGTTCCGCGCGGCGTCCTTGACGGTGTTGCTGAGAACGCCGAGGAGACCGTCGAGCTCGAAGCCCTGGCCACCGCCGCCACCTGAGCCCTTGTTCTTCTCCAGATGGTCCTGGACGACATTGATGGCGGAGGAGAGGAAGCCCTTTGCCCCGCCGAATGAGTCGCTGTGACTGATGCCGCGGGATTGGGTCTCGGGACCGCCGCCTCCTCCTCCACGGGCCTCGTCGGTGAGGTTGAAGATGTCTCGTAGGTCATCGCCTGCTTCGTCTGTGATGACGCTGAAGCTGCGGGTGAGCTTGCCAATCTCGTCGGCGAAGGGCAGGGACTGAATGCCATAGGCATCGGGCGGTGTGTCGTTCAATCCTCTCGAGCCATCGCTAGAGCTCTTGTCCTTGTTGAAGAGCGAACGAAAGGCGTCAACAACCTGGTCTTCAAGACTATCGATGGTTCTCGTCTGGAAGGTGTCGATCTCAGACGCGATGCGGGGCTGGATCTGTGGAGCAAGCGAGTCGACGTACTCGTCTACCTTTGTCATCAAGACATCGGGAAGGCCACGAGAGTTGGACATTGTTGCGGTGGTGAGAGTCGGGGGATTTGGAGAGGAATGACTAGCTTGGAGAGGAGAGACAGGCACAATGGAGGTGACCGTTGAGCTCTCAAATGGTGCTAGCTTGATGAATGGTCGGCGGCCGGTCCCGCTGGTGGTGGTGAGGCAGCCGGGGGGAGCTGAGCTGAGCTTGAGCTGAGCTGTCACGTGTGACGGCATCGCCATGGCGGGGTCGCGACTGCCCAGACGCCTGACGTCAATTTTGGCACGGACCATCCGTGAGGGGTAGACGGTACGTTTTTTTCATTCCTCATTGAGCACTCACTCACTCACTCACTCACTCACTCACCCAATCCCAGTCTAATCTCACTCATCGTACCGAAACCCAGGCGAATGCTGACTTCCGAGCTTCAAGTCATGGCTCACAATCTTACGCAAGAACAGTGACATTGGTTCATCTCATTATCAACTCTACGCACCTTTCACCACCTACAGGTAATATGGACACAAGAAGGCTATCTTGGCGTGCAGGAACGAGTCAGGCGACGTGGAGAGCATTGACGATAACCAGAGCCATTGAGCTCAGATATGATCAAGAGTTCGCCATCGACGATGTTAGTCGTCACTCATGCGTATATTATTTACATATGGTTGAAAGCAACAGAAAACCCTTTACTTCAAGGCAGCGAGGATTAGCTTTTTGTAGTCTTCCACAGCAAGCTCTAGATCCTGAACTGTGATGCGCTCATCGGCTGAGTGAGCCACCAGAATCGTGCCTGGTCCATATAAGTAGCGCTTGTGGGTTCCGTTCAGGCGAGGCACGTCGGTGTAGTAGTTCACCACGGTGGTGTTGAAGCCTGCTTGTGTCAACTGAGGCCGTTCCATAAGAGCAGTGAGGCAAACGACATACCTTCAACATCATAATCCAGACTCACTGGCAGACCAGACCCAGTAAACGTCAAATTAACATACTCGGGCGTCACCTCCGACACAGCCTTCTGCAAAACATCCTGAATCCCCTGCAAGTCCTCAGTCGCAGCCCGAATCGACGCCCTCCCCGACGCGCTCTCAGGAATCACATTACTCGCGATCCCGCCCTCAATCAAGCCCACATTCAACGTTGTGTTTCCAAACTCGTCCGTCCAAGGCAACTTCGTATCCTGGATCTTATCCAAGGCCCGAACGAGCAGGTCAATCGCGCTCCGCCCGTACTCGGGATACCCAGAATGCCCCGCAACGCCGTCGGCCGTGATGTTGAACCCCAGTACGCCCTTGTGCGCCCGGACGAGGGTATTCTCCGTCGGCTCGCCAAAGATGACGGACTCCCACGTCAAGCCCAGCTCGTTTGCGGCGCCCATGCCGTCGCCTCCGGATTCCTCGCCGACGACATATAGTAGCGCGACGTCGCCCTCGACAATCTTCCCGCTCCCGAGGAGCTCCTCCACAGCGATAATTTGTGCTGCAACGCTCCCTTTCGCATCAGAGGTTCCCCTACCGCGGATCTGGTCGCCAGAGCGAGAGTAGGGGATATAGGGCGGTACGGTGTCGAAGTGCGATGTAACGAGGACGCGGGCTTCGCGGGCGGTGCCGGGGTAGGCGAAGACGTTTTGGCGGGTTCCTTCGACTGTTTGGAGCTCGACTGTGAAATTTGTCTCGAGGTAGCCCTTGAGAGCTTGTGTTCCGAGGGCTTCGGATTTGGTTGTTGAGTCGGCTTCGACGAGGGTCTTGTGTAGGCTGATGAGGGACTCGGTGTAGGATGCGGCCCAGGCTGATGCGGCGAGGGCGCAGGCGAGTGCTGCTGATGAAAGAGGCTTCATTTTGGTGTTTGTTCACATTAAGTTGCTGTGTACCTGCCGAAGAGTGTCGTCTGCTAAGGCTGAGTGAGGTAATGGGTGTGGAATCAACCCGACTCGGTAGATATGAGCGTTGGAATGCTTTTATCATTCATGGCTGTTATGGCGCCAGCGACATTTGTGGGGTACACGCAACCCAGGTTCCGAAAGTTACGTTGAGATGCACGACGATAAGGAAGTCTGGGTTACTTTGAGAGTGGTTGATGCTGCGCCAAGATGATGGATAGGTATCTCCGATGCAAGAGATGTTGAAATGGGCGGTCATTGCATCGCAGACGTCGATACCGAGGAGGGGAATATGTATGATCTTCTCCGATCCATCCTCATCGGTGGTGGATTCGGAGCTTTCGTTCAGTGATTGCCGTGTTCGGTCGGGCTCCCACGATGCGGGGTCGTAGGGGCCGGCCGAGTCTCCCGAGGATCTATGGGGTTCGGGAGCGAACCCGAATGTTACGGAGCCTTAGGGCCCATTGTGAGATCAGCTGACTTGATCAAACAGGAACCTCATCGCCAAAGATCAACTTTTAATATGACCTTGAGCTAAGATGTAGCCAATCGCTGTCATCAGTTGCTGTTCGATGCCATTGTTGGTTGAGCAAGACACGGTCACAGCACGCGTTTCACACAGGCCCAAAAGAACTTGAGAATAACCTCATCATGTCTTCCCCTTGGTGCCCCAACGTCGATAGCGAACATGTACATCAAGGATGCATTGTGCTATGATGGGATTTGCGACAATGAACTTGAAGGACGGCCATAATTGGGACTTTGGCATAAACCTAATTCATTACATTGCGGAATTCCCATGCTATATCCAGCCACATTTCTAAGCAAAAACAACGCCTTGGTGACTAATGCTGAATGTCTGTGCGCCCCGGCATTGCGGATAGCTCCTTTTTTACACCTTAAATGACCAACTCGTTCGTCCGCGGAATTAACTTCGTGGGGCAGATGCGATTCAATGGGGGATTTTGCGGAGTGTCGATTGTTTTCTAAGCGCAATTCTAAGCGCAATCAGACCATAACTTCACCAAGCTCAAGGTTCTCTGGCTGCGTCAATGGCGTCTACCCACTTGAGCACGCGATTTCTCAGCAACAGCTTGAACTCCAGGTTACTAATCCCACGTGTTGTTTCAACGTCCCCTCCTCTTGACTTAAATTCGTTCTCATTCCGTCATCCATCTCGAGTGTACCAGTCCAAGAAACAACTCCAAAAACGCCGTCCGTTGTCTTCAATCTCATCTACAATCCTTCAAACCACTCAAACCAGATCCATATCACACACAGCAACAATGGCAGGCACTATCCGAGCCCTCGTCTCCCAAGGCGACAAGACCGCCAAAGTCCAAGAAGTACATGATGTCATCTAGACCCTCCCACCGATTCCCATCTTTACTCACCACCATCTCAGGTCCCTAAGCCTCAGCCCGGTCCCGGCGAGATCCTCGTCAAGATCTCCACCGTAGCCCAGAACCCAACCGACTGGAAAGCCACAGCCGGCGCTCCCGCAGGCCGCACCGTCGGCTGCGACTTCCCCGGCACCGTCGCAGACCCCAACGGCTCCTCCCTCAAAGAAGGCCAGCGCGTCGCAGGTTTCGTCATGGGAACCAGCGACGACCCACCACGCGGCGTCTTCGCGCAGTACGCCGTCATTGAGAGCAGCCTCGTCTTTCCCGTCCCTGAATCCGTCACGGATTCCCAGGCGGCAGTCATCCCCTTGGCCTTCGCCACCGCTGTTCAGGCGCTGTTCCAGCGACTGAGACTTCCTGAGCCGACGAGCCCGTCCAAGGAGGCGCTTCCTGTCTTGATTAATGGCGGAACGGGCAGTGTTGGATTATATGCCATCCAGCTGGCGAAGAAGGCTGGGTTATACGTCATCGCGACTGGAGGCAAGAAGAACCACGAGCTGCTGAGGAGTCTCGGTGCGGATGTGGCGATTGACTACCGCGATGCCGACTGGATTGAGCAGGTCAAGACGGCTGCGAAGAAGAATCTGAAGCACGTCTTTGATGCTATCAGCGAAGTCGAGACCACAAAGGCTGTCGCGACGGCGCTCTCCCCCGAGGGAGGCCACGTCGTTTGTATTCTGCCGCGCAAGGCGAAGGAGGTCGGCGCTCCTGAGGGAGCAAAGGTCGAGAGCACGTTGGTGTACTCAGTCTTTGGAAGGGCGCTGTCCTATGGAAGCTTTGACAACATTGATGGTGAGAAGCCTGAGGATAAGAAGTTTTGGGAGAAGTACCTGGGGCTTCTGCCCAAGTGGTTAGAGGATGGCTCCATCAAGCCGAACCCGCAAAAGGAGTTTGGTAGTCTGGATGATATCAACAAAGGCTTTGAGTTGCAGGCCAAGGGAGGTGTGAGTGCTGAGAAGCTGGTCTACAAGATTGTTTAGACCACTTATACATGAAGGAAACAAACAGCGATTGGAGTTATTATTATTTAGCTAGTCAGATACTGGCTTGTGACTTTGCCTAGATACATCGCATGCGATGGCACTAAGAGAACGAATACAATGTGAACACTCCTTCACCGCCGTGAATTCCTCTTTGGTCATTTTTCTTCTGCCCTCAGGTCGCTCTTGCCCTTGGGAATCACCCTCTCTTGCTCTTGCCTCCAGCAGCAAGGCCTCCCCTCCTCACTAGCGTTTGTCTTTAGGCTTTCACCTTTTCCATCCACTTTTCAACCTCATCCTCTCAACTTTTCCCCTCGACCCAACCTTCCTCTCGACCCAACTTCTTCTTGCAATTCCCTCTCGACCTTATCCTTTGGACTCCATCTGTCCCTAAACATCCTAATCTCGCCTTTCGCAGAGCAGCGATCATCTCACTCCGTCCATCATTACCGATCGCTTCCGTCTTTGTCTCTCTAGTCCCTACACACTCCACTGCAAAAGACATTACAGACCCGAACAAATCGATGTAAGGAAGGATTATCGTCCACACTCACCCTGGGCTCTTTCATCTGCTAACAGCCTCATCTCTTAAGCATGTCCTCCTCTCACGCCAAGTCCATGTGGGAGCCGGTAGTCACCTTCACCGTCCTTCTTACGCCCATTGAGCAATACTCGATGGAAATGAAGGGCGGTGAAGGTAGCGGCTGGGCTCTCCATCATCCTGCAGTCTACGATGGCTGCCACAGCCAGCAGGAGAGACAGGGAACCGAGCAGTGCCTGGCCTGCGGCAATGCTTCCACCCGGAAGTATCGCTGCCCTTGCAAGGAGGCTAGGTACTGCTCTGCCCAGTGTCTCGAGGCCGATAATATCCATCAACGACTCTGCATGGGTCGCCAGGCAGCGAGGTCGGCTCCTTCCTTTGGTCTTGCCTTGCACACTCGGCCATCTGAGAACCACTACCTCGCGGCGCTGCTTCCCGTCGATGGGGCTGACCCGAAGCCAATCTGGATCTCAGTTCATCTTGATCTCGAGACTGGCAAGATGAACTTCGCTTCCGACGAGATCGACATTGCCAAGGCGGCTGGCAGATCCAACGACAGCTCTACCGGCCCCGACATCATACACGTGGGTCTGAATTCGGTAGTGACTCCCATTCAGAAGAAGTTAGCCCATGGCGTCGACGCCATTAAGTTCGGCTCTTCCAAGGACGCCAGCGTTGGAAATCTCAACAACTGCATCCACAGCTTCGGCAAGCCGGATTTTGTCGCCTGCCATTTTGGTGCCGTAATCATCTGGGCTTACGAAGTCGACAAGAATGGGTCGGTGAAGGCCCCGCGAGATGTGACTGTTCGAGACGTCCGTCATGTCTTGGATTGCCACATCCTCAATTCGACCAAGCCGGCTGTCGCTCAACCAGGCCGATTCATCTTGGAAGGTGGCACACTTCCTTCCCTGAAGATCAACGATCTCTCGGATCGTTGGATGGAGGCTTTGGGGGTCACCCGCCAAATCGAGAAGGCACATGTCGCCGCAGAGCATGAGTATTTCCAGTCCTTCCCGGTCGGTAGACTCTTCCACCTCGGCCTTCGCTGGTACATTCGAACTGCCGTACCTAATGCAATCACTCCAATCGGAGAGCTCCATGAAGACCACGAGGCGATTCTCTCCGTGTTCCGCCAGACGGTGATTCTGGTTGCGTAGGAGGCACCTCAGAACACCGGAATGCGCCAGGGTCACTTGCAGGTCGTGGACCTGAAGCGTTCTTCTAGCTTCCATCTCATGCAGGTTTGTGGAAAGCAGATCGAGCCCGCGCACCTCGCCGCGATCGTCGAGTATTTCAAGCTCGCCAAGGCCTCTGGAACCCCAACATCGGAGAAAGCGTTCCGTGCGTTTTGGGCGCACTTTAGGCAGAAGGAGATCTACAAAGGTCATCCGATGGATGGGATTCCTTCGCCCTATGACCTCGAGGCCGGATCGACAACTCACGATCCTCATTCTGCCGGGCTTGTTGCCTTGCTCCAATCTTACCCCTCCTACGACGACTTTCTCGGCCAAGCACCAACCGCGGATGACCACGTCGAGGGCGGCCTGAACGGTCCCAAGACTGAGGTCACTGCCGCTAACTCTGGGAGGATCTTGGAGCAGTTGTCTGGCATCCCAACCAAGCGGACTTAGCTCGTGGCAGACCGCCCTCTCTACAGTCAGTTCATTCCACCTATCTTACCTGATCCAAAGATACTAACAGTTGACCATAGTAGCCATCAGACTGATCCGGCATTTCCACACGAGTAGGATGAGGGAGTAGATTATGAGGTTAATTCGAATATTCTGAGGGTACGGAGAGATACCAACAGTCGCAGAGACAACGGAGATAAAGATAAACCTTCGCAAGACCGGAATTGAGACACCCATTCTGCTGCATGCCGTTATCACCTGCGCGACTCCAAGAATTTTAGGCCCTGATGAGGACTATGATTTGTCCTAAAGCGAGACAAAGCCAAAAGCCTTCGGTCTCGATATCCAGCATCATCGCTCCGCCTGATACGCCTTTTTCAACTTCAGGAACCGCGGGTGATCCCGCGGCTTCATTGATGGACCCATCCCCTCCTCTCCTTTCCGAAAGATTTCAAGACCATCTTTTCTCGTCGTAAATCCAGACTGCCCATCCTGCACTGGCAAGCCCATAAACTCAGCGTGTTTATCGTCCTCCAAAACCCACTTAAGCCCCCTCTCCTGCAAACACCGCAACTCGTCCTCGATAATCCCACTTCGACCAATGTGAAACGCCTCATCGCGCGACAGGACCTTTGCCACGCCTGGTTCAACCAATCTAACCACAGTCGTCCGGTCATACTGTTCAGGATCAAGGATACTCGCATCATCGAGCCAGTGGAAGAGCAGACTGCCTGAGCCGGAGTGTGCGCCCCAGGGGTTAATCTCGATGAGCTTCACCTCGAAATCTGGATCGAGGACCTCTGCATACACGTCTAGGATGCAGCTTTTGAAGTCGAGATCGGGTGCGATGCGCGACCAGAGGCGATGGGCCTGGAATACTAACTTGCTCAGCATCTTGTCTGTGATGCCGGCGTAGTTTGGCTGGTAGAACCTGCTCTGGCTGATGGCGACGATATGGCTTTCTTTGACATAGCATCGCCACTCGCTCAAGCGGTCGAGGTGGGTGAAGTATGGGAAGACGTAAAGCTGGTTATCTGGGTATTCTGCGTCCTGGTTGAATTGATAGTACAAACCGAGAAGTGCTTGGACGATTCTTTTCGAAGAGACCAGCTTGGTGAGTGTTTCGCGCATGCTGTTGACAGGTTGAAGGTTACCTCCGTCAGCGTCTTTGGGGCTGCAGTGACTTGTCCGAATGAAGTGTCCTGCCGGTGTGCCTGTCTGAAGACCTTCTGTCCTCTTTTCCATCTCTGCTGACAGTTTGCTCAGATCATCACTCTTCTCAGCTTCCAACATGCTGTATTTCAGCTCCGCTGCAATCTCTAGCAGTTTGCGAACTTCATCTTTGGACAAGTAGTGGATTGCAGCAGGCGGGTTTAGCATGCACTCCTGGGTCCGTGGAGTCAACCAGCGACCCATGTTGAACGGCGCGATCTCCTGCTCTCTTCGATGTAGATACGATGCCGTTAGATAACCTGTATGTTCGAGCCATGGCGCCAGGGCGTGGTGGTTGTAAGAATTGAGTCGGGCTGAGGGGGAGGTGTCTAGCGGACGTCGCTGGATCACCACGCGTGCTTGGTCTAGCAATGCCATCTTAGGAACACAAGGATTTGGGGGAAAACAAACTTAGGCAAGGCGTTGTGAGAATTGTTGTGCTATTGTTTGTTATTTATTTGTACATCTTCTTTGTCAGTTATGTTCATTGCATGGCAGAATGAAGATGAGTCACGCCGCGCGAGGTCATTGAGGCCAGAAGGATTTGGAGACTCTTGAGCTAGCATACATGCTAATGATCTGGATTGTAAAAGGCACTGCCTTCACGAGGGCCAATATTTTACCTAATCTTCCCAACCCTGCCACATTATCTCCCCAACTGAGGGCTCGAAGCCATCTCCCTCTGGTGGTCTCGCTACACCCACGACACCAGCCTCAAATGCTGGAGGTGCGGGAACCCTAAACCTGCCGCTCTTAATATCTTCCTGGGCCTTCAAACTCAAGTTCACAATCTCAATCATGATATGCTGCCTCTCCGCCTCGAGATGCTCCTCCGAGATATCACTCCCATACCACACCGAAGCACACTGACATCCCTTGCAGCAATATTCAATACCCCGAATCTGGTATTCTTCCCGTCGACAAGATTCTTGTCACCGCACGCCTTGAGTCGAAAATCAGACAGCGGTCGCACCATCGGTCTCTGCGCACAGGTTCTCGTGCTATGGTTGGGAATACTAAAGTTGGTGACCACCCCGCCCCAGCCCTCTAGAATCCTTGAAGTCGCAGCCGCACCTGGACCGCCCTCACTGTTCGACTTTTTGAAGTAGTGCTCCGCGTTTCCACAATTGTTAGCTGCATCAGCGAGAGACGAGGCAGACCACGTCGAAAAAGCCCACGCGTTGACGTTGGGAAGAGGCACGAGGGCGCGACACTCGACTCCTTTCCAGGTGGCAGAATCATTCAGCGTGGAGTTGTGGTTGACATCATACCAGAAATTCTTGGCGTCTTCAATATCCTTGGAGAAGAGCTCGAGAAAGCCCTGGTCACCGATGGTGGCCTTTCGTTTGGCGAGGATGTCCATGCAGAGCCAGGCTGGGATCGGGAGCGGGATCGGGCTGCCGGGGACGTTTGTCCGCTCATTGAGAAGTCTGAGGACGTAGTGGCATCGTTCTAGTTCGAAATCGGTCTTCTTTCCCAGGGCCATGGGGCCTGAGAGGATGTATGGGTATCCATTGAAGGTCTCGGTCCAGTTGCCGTACTTAGGCCAAGGGGTGCTTTGGGCAGCAGCCACAGCTATGAAGGTCGCGAAGACGATAGATAGCATAGTGAGATTGATGTGAACGGTAGAAATAGATAGGTTGATATCTTTGCTGGAATCGATATTTCATGCACCGAGGTGAAGACATTTATAATATCCGTCGGTGCGAGCCCTTACACGATCGATGCCGTAAACCGTCCAATCGCTCACGATGCTGGCCATAGTTTATCGGGCATCTTAAATTGCCGCCCGTAGAAATTCAGCAAACAAAGCCTCCAAAATTCGGATACCAGCAGGCTCATGTCTAATGACAGACTTCCATAGCAGACTTGACCACTTCATGAGTTCCAGCGACGACGCGGCAAAGGAAGCGAGACAATCAATGACATCTGGCCTGCCTACGCCGCACAACGCGCCATCGCTTGATAAGTCCTATATGAAAACATGGATGCGTGGCTGACAAAGGACCTCGGCAAGCGTCATGGTCTTTGAGGTCAAAGAGGAGCTTCCTCGGGATTGGAGCAGGGCCGATTCGCCAATGGGACAATACTGCTGAAGTCTCACCGCCGATCTGGTCGGTGTTACGGAGCGTTGTGGCACAAGCGAGTCTCTGCAAGCCCAAAGCTTCGGCCGTCGGCTAGATAACGAGGTTTTGCGCGCCAAGGCGTCTGTGGTAGCGAAATAGGGGGGCCACTGGTATAGATCAATGCAGGGTGGTGCCTTGTCCTTTGGCTTTAAAAAGTTGTAGTGTAGCTTCGAATATCTTTCAGCTCACAATTGCCATTGTGCTGGGCACGGTTCCTACATGCGAGAAAGGTTTGAGGAAGTGAGGGAGAATAATACTGAGATGGTCAAGCTCTTTCCGGCAGGTAAGTCAGATTCATCTGGATTCAAGATAGCCGACACTCTCTTCCCTTTCATGACTGAGGTGCGTTCATCAGTTCATGTCACTTGCATGTACCTTGATATCTATAACGAGCTTTGATATGTAGCTTTGATATGTACCTTTGACTACTAACATGTATCAAGTGGTGTTAGAGGACTCTGTTTCATAGATGCATAATGTATCGTACCTTCTACATCGAGACTACATGGACTCTCAACCTCATTGCCCAGCGACTTCCGGCTTCTCTCGTGGGAATTGCCCCTTCGACGCTGCCGAGCACCCTTCTCCCTGTCCTCTGAACTCCTCATCTTTCATTTATAACTATTGAGGGATTTTACTTACCTTATTGCAGTATCTCTACAAAGCTATGGATCTCAATTCCGTCTTTTCGGTTGAGCTTTTGCGTAACCTGTCCCTGACAATCGTCACGTAAATTCACTTTCACTGCACTCAAGAGCGAGCATCGCGGTATTACAACGGCCACTGCTCCCAGCCTCCACTCGACTTGAACATCATGAGATTGTAGTCTAGTACATCCCTCAACGTCGGCAATTCGTAGCCCTAATATAGCAGGTACGGAGTGGTCGATACTAAGCCTCGAATCAGACTGCCAAGCACGGTAGTCGCTCTCATCTTTTTGTCCCACCGTTTGGAGATCTAAGGAACGAGGAATATTCCTCCAAGCTGTGAAAACTCCCGCTATTTCATTTAATCATTATCACTTATCACGTCGCGCTAGTTCATGTCGCTAAGGTACGGAGTACTCTATGTCAGACCTATTACATTGCCCCTCAGTCTTCACCTCCAATTCGATGCGCCCGGTTGTCACTGACACATGTCGCCATCGAAATCAGATCATCGAGAAAAAGAAAAAAAAGAAAAAAGTGCAGTGATGGCTGTGGTTTCGGTTGTATTTGTATGAAAGAGCCCAAATTATTCAACACCCAAATCTGCGTACCATCTACTTGGGCCCTACTTTAGCTACCTCACCGACTCCACGTCGTCGGGGCTGGGTCCGGTGGCTGGCTTCGAATGGCAGCCCCTGCAAGCCACGTTACGAGGAGCGACAGCGAGGGAAAAGAAAAAGCAACGTGAACCCATTGAGGATATACGGATCGTCGCCGACCAAAGTATCCCTTCGGCCCTTTCTAGCCGTGTTTCGCAGCACTTGAATGGAGAACGTGGCAGGGTTCGACCACGTTTTTTGCCCGTCACACCAATTCTTACGGGGAGATATAGGTAAGTGCCATGCGTGATAAGAATCCTTGGGGGAACTTCACTTAGTTGGAGTTCTAGACCGCTCTGAGTCTCGTCACTATGATGCGATCTACGTCTATGCACCATGGCAGTAGATCATTCTTGCGACAGTCACGCAAGACACTGGGTACAAGGTACTATAGACATCGCCAACAGAACGGGGATCTCAGGCCCGGCAACTTCACTTGGATATCCCACCATAAGATGGATGAAGTATTTCCGTCGGTATGAAGATGTTCATCAATCTTCCAGTCCCCTGGGGGCTCTTTCGATTGAATGCGCATCGCAAAGCGGATGGAAATTTTGGCGAAAGCTGCTTTCATTAATACCTAGCAGTCACAAAAGGCTGGAGAGACATGCTTTTGTCAGAAACAAAATGGGCTCAGACTTCATCATGTCAATGGGGATGAATTCATGTACTGTCCGTTCACGAGCTTGATAGCATCCATGCCTGCATGCCTGCGAAGTGCGTGAAAACACCATCGCGACCTTCATGTTGCGACTGCAGAACTCGAGTTATTTGTATCGTGGGACTGAGATACTTGCATTGCAGGAAGCATGTGTTTTGGCGTCTGCCACATTGAACTAGCGGTAAACCAGTCCCGCGAATCAACGTTCCGGAGGCGGCACTAAGGCGCTGTTTGCGATCATCGTCGGGCCAGTAGACGGGCTTACATATAAGTGGCGATCCCGCTAGACATGATCATCTTCTTCTTTGTCCGCCAAGCGCTGATGAAACAACGTTGATCGCCCCCTTTCGACATCGCACAATCATCACTTCCTGTCAACACCAACATTACTGTTGGCATGGAAGCTACGATGGGCGCCCAGATGTTTGGGACGGCCGTATACTCTCTTGAGATACCGAGCATCTACTTTGGCATCACAATCGGTCTTGCGATACTTATTTCTGTGAAAGCATCCCAGCAAACTGTTCTGATCTATATGAGAACGAACTCAGTCTTCAACCTTTATGTGTGGATGTGAGTCCTTTTCCTCGATGCCTCATCCAGTCCATTCTAGCGACCGCGAGTAGTAACATCTTGAAGGATATGGGTTCTACTTGTCGCCAACCTGCTTCAAGCGATCGTCAACTGGTTGTTCATTCGAGGTGATTTAGCAGGAACGTAAGACAACGACATTGCATCTCAATGAGAGTACCCAGCTCGCTGACCTCTTGCCCCAGGTTTGGTTTCTTCTTTGGGAGCTGCATCCTGTGGTCGCTGCAAACGCAGTTAGCACTTCAAATCATCGCGAACCGTCTAGGCCTTGTCATAGTCGACAAGAGAAGGGTAAAAATTATGAAGATCTCCTTGCTTATTGTAGTCGGCATCATCAATATCTCGGTTACCTGCATCTGGATCCCGGCGCGTCTAACACTAGAGGAACCATTTGTGCGCATCAACGAGATATGGGATCGCATGGAGAAGATCATCTATCTCTTGGTGGATCTCACTTTGAATGCAATTTTCCTCCGCAAAGTCCGACGGGAGTTGATTGCCGGGGGTCTCACCAAATATTGGCTGTTGTTCAACTGCAATGTCGCTGCCGTCTCAATCTCCTTATCCATGGATGTGCGTTCACCTGTCCCATTCTTGCATGACCATGCTGATAGCTGCATCAGATTCTTATTATCGTCATGATGTCGCTTCCGAACCCATTTCTTTACGCCATTACTCATCCGGTTGCATACAGTGTCAAACTCGTCATCGAGATGATGATGGCAGATTTGATATCGACCATCGCCCGACAACCACACCAGCTTCTCAGCCGCTCAGATGTTTAGAAGGAAGAGTCCCACGAGGATAGCGATCAAGGAACCTAAAGTGGGTGAAGAGAAGACTCAACTCAAAGTAGTTCGCGTTTGTGAATGTACATATAGAAGGCTGAAATCTTTAAAAGGAAACTAAGTTTCCCAATTGCTGCGCCACAACTCTAGGTGCCATTATGAGGGCTTCATGTTCTATCTGGTCTGTCGCCTTTCCTCCCAATACTCATTATCTCTCTGTTACACATTAGAAGGTGAATATGCTATGACTGAGGATAGGTCGCTGGCCAACGCCGACAACGACGATAACGGCAACGAAGACACCGACACCGACGACACTTACACCGGTGTTGCCAACACTGACCACCTCGTCCCTGTCCTACGGTGCTGAGCAGTCAGCCGTCCCACGGATGTTTCTCTGGGTACCGAACAGAGCGGAATAGCCCTTCCCACTCGAATCCAGAGTCCAGCATAGTGTAGAGAGATAAATAAAATTACAGCTCACGAGCATCCAGCTCGAGTCCTCATCCTCTTCGTCATGTGAGCCGCTATCCGTGTCATCGCCTTCGTCACCCGAAGAGTCAAGAGAAAATGGCCGGCGTTCAACGGCCTTGGTGTAGACGCTGTTGAATGGAGGCTCCCTGTATCATGCCTCAAAAGATCTTGAACATTCGTCGTCAACTATAAGGCAGTAATTGAAACAACTGTGGTCGCGTTTTCGATAATCGGGATTTCTTGCTCCGGTCCGGCACTATGGAATAGTCCTCCAACCCAAGATTGGAATCGCAGAAGGACGTTCCAGACCGACATGCCGTCGAGTTCAGCGCCTTCGATTATTGATAAGCGATGATAAGGGCGAATGTAGGCAGCGTTTGGATCGTATGAGATATCGCCCAAGATGGATTCGCGTAGACATGTAACGTAACTCTCCGATAAGGCCTGGTCGCGATACGTTGTCCGGTAGAGATAAAAGCCCCAGACATACAGCTCGTCAGGCCGATACCGGATGTTCCGAGTGACACTGGGAAGATGTAGCGTATCGTTAGTTGGGAAGGGTGGAAGCTCCATTTTTCGTTCTGAAGAATTGAGACTTGGGGATAAAGAGAGAGGGTTGTGAGCTGTGAGGTGGTTGGGAGGTTGAAAGTTGAAAGCTGAAAGCTCAGGATTCGACGACTAATTTATTTATGGTCATCAGGTATTTCTCCCTAAGACTCAGCACGGACTTATAGTTGAGTACTTACTTCTTTGATAGAGACCGTAGCCTTGTTGGGCAGATGCCTAGCATGTTGGTAAAGCCTACTTGCATGGGAACTACGACGTTGTACCGCGCGCGGCATTGAACCGTGCCTTTAGAGAGTCCGATGACGCATCTTTGACATAAAAGTTTCTACGCAATGAGCACCATGCATTAATGTGAGTAGTCTCTTCGCTCAGAATCGAGTAACATGCGAGCGTCCTATAAAGTGTCGCTGGAGCTCATTTCCCCTGTGAGTCAGAGGTTTGAGTGACCTTGAATATATCTTGTGAAAGACTCGCCGATAGAAAAAGAAATCGGGTAGTAAACTTTCACAAGTACATAGGTACATGTGATCTTGGGGCAGTTTTGCCGACGTGAAAAATTATCATCTTGCAATCAATTCCAATTGCCACATCATGAATTCTTCTCCCAAAGTCTTTGTTTTCATATCCTCCAAACATGACCACACGCCCATCCACAACCCAGCATTATCATAATACAGAGATTTGAGGTGTACTGAGGACCTCCCAGTTATCCGCGTGCGATGGGTCGCCAAATGGCTTCAGCAGCGCAAAGCGAAGCCTGAAAAAGTTAGCTCAGGGTCAGAGGTTCTAAAGGTGGAGCGCTACGTACGTGTAGTTGCCGACAGCAATTTGGCTTCCGTTGCCGAGTTTTCCGAACCACCAGTGTTCATCCTGTTCGTAAGCACCGTTGCGGTTACGGTCCATGATTGGATACGTAAATGTCTCATCCGGGTCGTAGATGCTGGTGTCGATGGCCTCTACCCTGCCGGACCCTACCCAGGAGGCGATAGTACCGATGTGGCCGTTCTCTCCGGGTACTGGGGGATACTTCCACTGTCGCTCCGTCCATCCCGCCTCAAAGACCTAGTATCATGGTTAGCCTGGTGGACTCAGAATCGTCTGACACCTTGTTGAGTCATGACATACATCCCAGCGAGTCTCCTTGATGCCATAAATCGGCTTGCTGATGACCCTTGGGAAGTCTTGAGCCTCGAGGCTAAGGTTGAAAGTGAAGCTGAACAGTGTTAATATCTCTCTGCATTTGATCTCAAATCCTGGACTCACTATGGCTTTTGAACGACTGGAGTGTTCGAAGTCGTTGATATCATGAAAGCGTAGTTGGTTTCTTCCAATGGCGTCACCTCCTTACGAAGGTCGCCACCAAGACCTGCGAAAGCCACGAGTCAGCGAACTGAATATCTGAAGGTCCACGAGAATACGAACCAAGATATGGAATTGAGAGATATTCTCCGTTGCTGCCAGAGATAAGGACACGACCACTGTACAGAGGCAGTCCAGATGCATTCCAGCCAAGGGTGTCCGGGTTCTTGAAGTTCACTCTGAATGGGCGGATCGTCAGCAGATCTTGAGGAAGCAAGAACCTATTCGGGCACTTACGAGACTGTTTTGCTTTCTCCAGTTTTCAACGTGAAATCCGCAGGGAAGCTGATTTCCGGTGCGCGCGTCTCGGGAATCATGTCAAAGAACTCCTTTACTCTTTTGGTTCCGGGAGCAGGGTTAGCAATAACCCGGTCAGCTGCGTACCATCCAAGGATGTCGGCCGAGACAATGTCGTCCGCGGAAAACTTGTACGTCACTGCCTTTTCGTCGTTATTAGTGACGGATATCTCGTGGTAGCGATTGAAGTAACGCGTGTCGTTCAGCGCAATCTTCTCGTAGTCGATCACAGTCTTGTACTGGAGCACTTTGAAAGCATCGACCAAGCCGTTTCCGACTTGAGCGACACTAGCAGAGTGGCCGTAGTCGGTCTCGGTCAGACCATCAGCCCAAGGAACGCTGATACCGCTGGAAATGATACGCTTGCCGAGGTCTTTGGCCCAGGCATTGCCACTGGGGTGCGTATTGCGCCCGCCGTAGACGGAGACGTAAAGGGCAGCCACCCCCGCAATGTACGGTGCAGCCATGGAGGTGCCGCTTTGAATCGTGTAGGAGTCGTCGATCCATGTACTGTAAATCTTGCCTCCTGGTGCAGCAATATCAGGCTTGATCTGGAGGTCGTACAATGGTCCGATGTTGGTGAAGTAATTCGGATCACCGCCGAGGGAATAGGTCAGCGCGACCGGAAGCCCATGGTTGACAGAAAAGTCTGCGGTAACGTTGCGGCCAGCCTTGACTGCTTCGACGATTTGCTTCCCTGCAGAGCTGGTCATGAACCCGACGGTGCTGTTCGTGTTCCCAATGACTGGGTAGCTGAGTGGGCGGTCGTCGTTGTAAACTAGGACAAGCGTGCCACCGACAAGAGCTAGATTCTTCTGCTGCGTGTGGATGTCGCAGAACAAGTCGGCCCCGCGTCTGACAAGGACAACCTTCCCTGAAAAGTCCATGGATCCAGGCTCAAGCGGCTCGCATGCGTCAGTCGTAGCATTGGTGTCGAGAGAGAATGGGACGATGGGCACGTCCACGATTGTCGCGGGGAAAGGATCGTAGCTGATGGGAGGGATGAATCCAAATCTGGCCGTCTCTTCGCTACTGCCATCGACTCTGGAGAAGGTCGCGTCAAACGGAAAGGCAGGGAATGTCTGTGAGTCAACCGAGGCTACAGCAAGAACGTTCTTGCCAGTCGCGCCGGTGCTGCTCAGGAACGGTCCGACTGTGCCCACGTTGCCCGATGCAACGACGGTAACGATGCCTTCATCTACGAATCGCGATGCAACTACTGACCAGGCCTCTGTGGCCCATCCAATATTGGAGCCAACGCTAGCTGTGATGATGTCCACCTAAAGAAGAAGTCAGCTACTTTGGAATGCAATATAGGTGACTCCAAAGAGGAGAGCGCTCACTCCATCATCATAGGCGCGGAAGAATGCTTCCAGAATTGTTGCAGTATCTGTGAACCCCTGGAGACGAGTTCAAAGCATTAGAGTTGCGGATCGCACCATTGTCAAGTCGTAGCGCGAATGCGACTCACGTATTGCGAAAATATCTTGTAGGCGTAAAGTGTTGCCTCGGGGGCAACTCCGGACCATCTAAGAACAAGCTAGTCAGATAGTCACAACAATCGAAACGGCTTTCAAACTCACCCAGCACCTTTAGCTGCAACTATCCCCGCAACATGAGAACCGTGACCCTGTTGATCGAGTGGGTCCTCATCGGGTTCCTTCTCGCCCTCATATGGCCACACTATATGGCGCCTCAGTCAGCGACTCGGAAGGGACTGGAAAGAGCATGTAGCTCACGTCCATCACCAGCAAAATCATGGCCCCGCTCTACTTTGAAGCCTGGCCCAAAGCCATTGCCGAGCTGTAGTAGGAATTGGTCGTAAGCGGCGCGTATGATTGAGAATCTCTCACTCGAAAAGACTTACGTCGGGATGTTTGTACCAAATACCGGTATCAACAACGCCAACTTTGGCCCCCTTTCCAAAGATACCCTGTGCGTGCAACTTGGAGACACCGGTAGCATTGTGCGTTGTGTACGCCACATCCTCGCCTTGGACCAGACGCTTGCTTTCCACAGGGTCGAGCTTAACTGCCACATTGGGCCAAACATTGACAACGTCAGGAAGACTTGACAAAGAGTCGAGAGTGTGGTTCTCCGTCTCGACGCTTGCACCCGTAAAGACTTTGTTGTTGTAGGTCTTTACGACTGTGACACCATCGGTCGACGCAAGCCCATCCCGTCGCTGATTCGAGCCCTGGTGTCGCTGGTCAACGGCCGGCTAATTGAAGAAGCAAAAAATGCATGCTCACTGGCGTAAACTCCACGATGAAGCTCTTTGAGATAGGTCGATTATTGTCTTCGAAGTCGATGTTTTGACGACTTTCCAGCGTAGGATTACTCCCTGCTTTGACAAGCGGGAGTGCAAGGGAGAGTGCGAACAGCCGCATTGTCGTCTAGACGCCGCGCAAGCAGATGTTCGTAGGGGAGTGAAGATCTCGATGCTCTCATCCGTAGTGCGTTCCCATGGCCATGCCACCCAAGCCTTGATATAAGTATCTGCAGGTCATTGTCTTCCTTACATCTCGTAGATACGCGGTTTCGCGGACATCCTGTCACTTGTTGACGCTGGGATTTGGACAAGATAACGCTCGTTTTCGGACGCCGACTGCACCAAACTCCCTGAGAGCCCATGCTCAATGTACATGTACGAGGTTACAGTGCATTCTCAAAGCACTATGTGCCTGGGTTTAGGTCGCATCGCCGTTGCCAAGATGTGATAATGATCACCAAGAGACCTTATCAGACGAGATGAGATGAACCACTCCAGGTATTTATCATGGCCCATGCCGACGCGACTCGGTCGCGTGCTTGACAGATCACAGGATGGCCTATGGAAGGAGAGCTTGACAATAAACATTGATTGATCGCGTGCTGCACCCTACTTAAGTGCTAATTCACCTTCCTCGTTGAGACTCTTGGCACCCGGGGAGTCGGATAAGTCTGGCCTTATCACCGCGGCTTCGTTGCCACTTGGGAACCTTATTTCAATTGGACTCTGCAAGCTAAGTTCTAACAGCGCCTTTCTGGCAGGTTTATCCGTACTTCCGGATATTTAGTCACGGTGATGGCTTACCTTGGGAGTCGAATCAGTGCAGCTTGACTTCGATGGGGCTTAATCTTCCACAGCTTGTTCGAAGAGAGGAATTGCTTTCCCACCTCCACGGCGAGAAGAGCATTAGTGCCAAGTAAAAAGATAATCAATCGGGCTCTAAGGTAGATTCAATTTCGCCATGTTGAGACTCATCCGATAAACGATGAACGTGAAAATCCAGTGCAATGATGCCAGCTCGTACTTCACGGAGGTCGGAGTCGGTTCGAAAACCTTCCAACACCACCTTGCTCCGCCTCCGCGGTGATAGTCTAATTGGAGTATTCAAGCTGCAATGCTTGAAGAGACTGCCGCCGTTGATGACGGTTCCGATGCCCGGGCCAGCAGCTCAATCGGCGTGTCAGGGTTTGACTGGGATTGTGGGTTTCGGTGCCGGGCCCGCGGAGCGCAAAGTGACCCCATCAAGCTGGTGAATACCGGTCGTCTGAACTCACTCTGTATGCTTTCAAGTGATCGCCCACGAGTTTCGGGCATGAAGACAGTGAGAACAATCGCCGTGATGACAGTCAGACCGCCGAAGAGAAAGTAAGCGCCATATGCTGAAGCGGATAAGAGGATCGGAGTGATAAGTGCCACCAGCCAATTGGTGAACTATGCCATGTCAGTGATGTCAACCCTAAGATGGATAATGAGAAGTCCACTCACGAATGAAGATGCCATTCCAATCGAATTGCCCGCAGCTCTGGTGTTGCCAGGCAGAATCTCACTAGCATAGATCTTTCCGACGACGTTCCAGGTAGCACAGTAGACCATGCCAAATGCGAAAACTGAAATTACGACAACCCAGCGAGCAGCTCCTGTGGGGCCAACCGCGCCAGCTGCGTAAAGGCTCCCCATGAGCATCATAAGTCCGGAGAGAATAACGCCGCCACTGATTGCCGAGGTTCGTCTTCCCCATTTGTCTGCCAGGATGGATGCTGGGATAGACACCACCAGCATCGTGATGGAAGAAACGCCAGATGCGATGAGCGAAGAGTTGGACTGTGAGATTCCAGCCTGGTCGAACAATGCGGGCGCGTACTATCTTGGTCAATCTTTATCTCAAATGATAGGAACGACTGGCGCATCTTACATAAGTTATCGCATCGATTCCCGATAATTGGATCATCGACAGAACAAAGAGCGCCAGCAGAGTTCTGGACCGGTACGGCCCACGGAAAGGTAAAAGGAAGTTCTGCCTCGTGGAAAGACTAGGCTGCTCCTGAGGCATGTTGAGGAAGTCGCGTCGAGCCTCATCCATGTCGAAATCAAGCAGCTCGAGAGCCATCACTGCTTCTTGCGTCGTGCCCCAGAGCAGCAGCCACCGTGGCGACTCGGGGAGAGACCTGCAAACGAGCGCGAGCATGATTGAGACTGCAATTTGGACAACATACGGAAGACGCCACGCGGTGCTGTCTTCAATAGAGCTCGTAGTGTAGCAAGAGAAGTATCCGATACAAATGCCGAGAGTTGCCATGAACTGAGGCAAAGCGGCGAGGCGACCTCTTCGACGGGAGGGGGCTATCTCAGCGAGGTAGACAGCGATGTTGCCGAGGAAGATGCCCTGACCAATGCCGCTGACAGCTCGGCCTAGGATGAACTGGCCCAGGCTGAAGGATGTCGTCTGCAGGAGAGCGCCGAGAGCAAATAGTGCGGCGCCAGGTGATATGATGCGCAATCGTCCGTACTTGTCTGCCAGCTGACCAGCGAGCAACGAGGGAATGATGCCAGTCAACAAGATCATGGAAACCGTGATACCTCGGACGGTCGCAGACAGATCGCCGAATGTGGTCGCAAACTGCTTCATGTGCACTACTGAGCCGATGGTTCCTGTATCAAAGCCATTGAGGAAGCCTCCAAAAGATAAGGCGATTGTCGCTGTCACGTAATTCGGCATCAGTTTCGCGAGGTGGGGCATGTTGAGGAGTCGAAAAGGATTGATTGTCGGGGAGAAGCATAGAACTCAGGTTGGATTTTGAAGTAATTACACAAGTAAGTGTAGCATGTAGTCGGAATGTCAAAGCCGACGGTGGTGAACCCCGCAGTTGCTACCCCCATGTCATCTCACCCGTCGATCACTCCTGCGCACGTTGGGGGATGCCATCACGTGCGTGAGATGGCAACAGCATTCGCAACTAGATAATGAAGGACTCTAAATATTCTCATATGTTTTGCCACGTCTGGTTTCATTGAAATCGAAGAATTTGCTGGTCAAATGGCGCGTTTTGATAGCGTGGCCTAATTTGTTGCACCTTGAGCCTTGAACCCAAATTTTTACACACACATCAAACATTTGGAGAATATTAAGCAACGAAGTAATTTGTCTTTCCGTTGCCAAAACAATCGAGACAAATCCAACCAGTCACATTTAAGATCTCAATTAATTGTAATGACATTGGGGATGAGTATGCTACTTATGATCATCTATTATTAAGTTAAGGTAGCTGACATATTGACGTTGACGATGTTAAGATAGTTCAAGAGCTTCTCAGAACAGCGTCACGTGATGCCTCACGTGACACAGCTTCATCTGAACTTGGCTTGGTCCTCCAATTGACTACATTCATGCGATATTGGCTCGAGCCATGTCTTCTATGACATGGCTATCGTTGCATAGCCTCATTCATGATACACTTCCTTACTGCTTGTGCTCATTGCGAATATTCATCCTTCGTCGTTGAAATCGCATGCATTGCTCACATTGCTGCGCAAATATATTCTCATCGAACTGCATTTACTCTCAGAATACAGATGCATGTAGGCACTTTGTATGCTGTATTTTTACACACAAACTCATCATTCACAAAGAGCATGAGAAGCGGACGACGGCTTTCTGCATTGTCCGATCGGGATTGCCTCAGAAATTAAAAGCGGGTACCCCAAACACACAGAATTCGGCGAAAAGCCGACCAAGGCACCGGTAACTTGGTCCGGGCTTTGGGAACGCGGCCGAAATGTTTTGACATATTCGGGTCCGGCAGCGGGCCGGGCCAAGGACAGAAAAAAGGTCCCTTATGAAGTCCTCGAGTCGTGGCAGTATCTCCTCCGCCGATCACTTGCATCCGGCGGGCGCTGTACACGTGTGAAGAGAACATGTTTTGACTTTTGACAGCGCGTGCGACATCTCCCGCGGTAAGACGTTCTTCATTAAACGGTATTATTTTCCGTGAGCTTATTCAGCGTTTGCATTGGACTCTCGGTGGCCAATGCTACCCCTGTTGGTGCCGTAGACGGGGAATAAATGACTCGGCTTCGCAAAAGATCAGCGCTGTGTGGTCAGCTCGACTAATTCAACTTCATTGTAAAAGAAGAAATGGTAGGAGTTTGGGAAGGATGTTGGAGATGCTCTGCTGAAAGATGTGAGGTTGTCGTGGTATATATGAATGTCAGGCTGTCAGCGCATAATGTGAGGTTGCAGCGACCATCTTGCATCGAGGCATTTCCATCGGAGACACGGCCCAGTTGGTGTCGGATTTGGTGCTTGAAAGGGGAAGGTCGATGACACCAACCCCAGTAGATCCACCAGACGCAGGACCCTTGACTCTGGAGGCATCCCATCCCCCTTTTGGCTGCCTGGACGGCTGCCGGGCTGCGTGCCCAACGGGACCAACGTTGAGGGACAGAAGTTGGCACCTACCTTGCATGTGCCGCGCATGCCAGCCCGCCCACAAGCGCGAGAATAATTCCGGCCAACACTGTTCGCACGGGAATCAATAATCACTGGACCACCTCATTTTGACCCGAACGTGGGGTTCTCCAACTTCCCAATTGGAATACCGAGTGCTTGTTGTGACAAACAGGAAATTCTGCCCAAATCTAGTGGAGATGACTTCACTTTTTAGCGACCCAAACTTCTGGACAATACTGACCCCAGGATTGTCAGCTTTCCTTCACCGCTTGGAAAGTGTCAAACGACCTTCCGAAGTCTCAGGGCATGTACGCAAGGAACATTAATCGTCGAAGCTCGGAATATGAACCGTAGATGCCAGATTTCCTTCATGTGATTGTCTGTCATGATTCAGTATCGCGGCTCGGGACAGCCCCAGATGGGAAATTGAGAGCCAAGTCCCAATTAAGTGAGGCTTCATTGAGAACACAAGAAGACGGGTACGTATCCAACAGACACTCCTTAGCAAAGACAGGTACGGATACGGTCTCAGCCTTGGTAAGTAAGGGGGTGCAGGTTCAGCTCTAGACCCGCAAGCAATGTCACATTATCGAGTAGCGGGTTGGTAAGGGCTAGTAGAACCAACATTATTCACGGGTCTCACTTGCAGTAGTATCAAAAGATGGTTAAGTAACTTTAACGCTCGAATATGAGATCTATCCATAATTCTATTCCCAATTCTATACACAAAAACAAGACAAAGAACAAGCATAACTCGCAAAGAAGATGTGCGGGATGTGGTATCAAGGACAAGGGTGTATTGGCATTATATCGTGCGTATCCTCGGTGGTTCTAAGAGAAGACCTCCAAAACTCCTTTCCGTTCCAGACGTCCCTGAGATTTGATGGGCTCTCTCGCAAAGTTGGCAGATGGTTTCTCGGCAGGTCCTAGGGGTATCAATGACCGCACGAGCGTTTGTGGCAGCGGGCTGAGCCGTGGCAATGTTACGAGCCACTTATTTGTGCTCACCCTGGCCGATGCAGTAGGGGATGGGGTAGGAGGTGCTGTTGCAAAGGCGGATGACACCCTTGACCCAGGCAAGGTTACCGTAGGACTGGTCAGCGTAGGTGTCGGAGGTGAAGGCATCGACGGAGGGGCTGTCGGTGCATCCGGAGAAGATGTTGCCAGTGACACGGCGAACGTTGGGCTGGGAGACGACGAGGCCGTACTGGCCGTCGGGTACGGTGAAACGGAGGTTCTGGGACTGGGTGGTGGTCCAGGTCTTTGCGTAGCTGACGGACAGAGAGACACCGAGGGCGATCTTGGCAATGGTGGTGGAGAGACCGGCGGTAACGGTGACGGAGTTGGCCAGGGAGTAGCCGCTGTCAACGGAGACAGCGACGTCGTTGCCAGCAGCAGTGACGACGGGGGAGACAGCAATGTCCCAGTTGAGGAACTCCTCGTCGGTGAGGACCTGGACCTCAGTGGACTCGTCGCAGCCGCGGCGGGAGAGAACGTCGCCGAGAGCGGGAGCGGGAGCGACGGGAAGGGCGGCACGGCGCTCAAGAGCGTCGTACTCGGAGGCCTTCATGACAGTGTGGGAGCCGTCCTCGCCAACAACGATGACATCGTCAAAGTTGAGGGGAGCGGGGCCAGGAGCCGGGGCGGCGACAGCAGCGCCAATGAGGCCGGCGGCGGTAAGAACGGAGAAACGCATCTTGATGGTTTGGTAGTTGGTTGAAAAGAGTGGAAATTGGGTGGCTGTTCTTTGCAAAAGAGCGACTTTGAAAAGTAAAGACTGAAGAGTTGCTTAGTGACTCGTTGAGAAAAGAATGTGGGGAAGGAAGTGTATTGGAGAATAGACTGATGATGCAAGTAGAAGATATTCCGAAACTCTGGGTGGGAGGAAGGTGTTCTTATACAATGTTCGTGTCGAGATGTTTAAGCATGTGGATGATACAATATTCCCCAGTTACAAACTTAGACTTTGGACTTTCGCTCTCGGATGTTCGCCAGACGGCTTCTGCGTCTGTCAAGCCGCCCGCCCATGTCCATGGACCATGACTCTCCATGGCATCCACGGGGAAGCGCACATGCGCGCGCTCGTCAGGCCGAAGGAGTTGGAATGGATATCGTTGCCAAGAATCCCTACGGGGCTGCCGGCATGACCACCATGGCACCAGAGCGTGGTGATCGGGCCAGCCGGTCAGGGTTCGATAGGTTCGACATAATCAAAATCCCATTTAGGAGGACTTGTTATCATCAACCTGAACAATATGACTGAAGCAGGTCCAGCGGCAGTACGACCATGCGCTGACTCGGATCGTGGCAGGGCGGCGATCGGTGAGGTCCCGTTGTGGGGGAGAGCGCGCGGATGGGATGCTGGGCAAGAGGCTAAGAGTTGGATATCAGATGGGCTGGGCTAATGATGGAAAATGGGACGAACACCAATAAGGCATAGGTAGGGCGTAGCAGTTTCACATTGAGATGGTAGACGCCGGATCCGGGCTGCGGATGGTGTTGTGCGCGTGGAGTAATGTGCGGCTCTGGGGTTGTATCGCCTAGTCATCTGATCCAATGGACTCGCGGGAGCGGCTACGAGTCAGTCAACAACCGCAAGTGGTCCCGACTCACCGTTTCATGCAACGCCATCCATGACCCCCTACATAGCCTAATGCAGAAGGCGGCTGGAGATTATTTGCTCATGCGCGTCTTCTCCCCTGTAGAAACCCCATAGAGTCCCCCCTAATGCCAAGATGCCCGTGTTAGACGCAGATGGGCGCACATGGTCTCAATCAGCCCAGCTAGCAAGGACTCAAAGACGTTCAAGCTCCAAAGGGCTGAGGTTAACCCTGGGAGTTTCCTCTTTAGAACACACATTAAGTTTGATGACGGATGGTCTACAGAAAGAGCCCTGTTGAATAGCTGCACCGCCTAGAGGGGCGCCCAGAGGTCACATTCATCCACACGGTGAGTCCGCTCCTCAATGATGATCAAACTCCTATTGCGGGCCACGGGTCCTACGGACCTTGGAGACGAGCGCGCGCCGACGAAAGTGCGCGGAAGTGGGACTTAGCTTGCCTGGTAGTGGGATCATGGATGATGGTCCTTGTCCCTTTGCCGAACGTGTTGGTCAGACCGTCAGAGCATGACCTTGATTATCCGAATGCGATAGATTGTCTATTGGGAAACAGAGCATGGCCGTGACTCGTTGTAAGTCAACTTGGATGTTGTGACCGTGGATATAAACCTCCATAGGTTCCTCCCCGATATCATGAAGTTTATCTCCATCCTCATCAAACTCCACACATTCTTTTCTTCGGTCCAGATCCAGTAATCTACCAACTCCGTTCATTCTTTTCAACAACACATCCGTTTCAGTCACTACCTTACCAACTACCCAAAACCCAACCCGTCCAAACCGCCAAAATGCAGTTCTCCATCGCCAAGGTTGCTTCTCTCTTCGTCCTCCTCTCGGTTGCGTAAGTCTCAACACACAGACTCTCAAGGTCTTCCAAGAATCCACCTAACATTGAATCAGTTCTGCCGATCTTCACGACAACTGCGCCTGTGACAACGGTGACAGCTACAACTGGCGCATCACCACCAAGGCTTGCGAGCTTTACGCCACCAAGAACTACCAGTGGGGCAAGGGCACCTACAACACCGAGACCGGACGCGTAAGTTCATCTCACTATACAAATTTCCATCAAGACCGCAACGCTGATATCAAATAAACAGTGCGTCCAGAACTCTTCTAGCGATAAGCTCGCCGGTAAGGAGTGGGAGGCTGCTTGCCGCGAGATCGCCACCACCGGCTTCGACTGCGCCGACGGCAAGGGCCTGTACTGCAAGGCCAACCCCGACGACGTCCGCGGCCGCTGCTAAGCGTCTCTCGCCTAGAGATATCCTGCGGGGCCCAAAGATTCGGGAAGCCATCCTCTCCTCCTTCACACTAGCAAGCCCAGCCTGTTCATAAGGCTGGATAAAATCAGCCCAGTCATCATGCACTCCACACCCACCATCCTTAGCCGGCTCTCTGGATCGTGGTGCCTTCGAGGGGAATGAAACAAGAGGCTGCCTTGATCTGGGGAGGTGGCTTTTACAACAGTGGTAGTGGGAATTTTGGTCCGTTTAGTTTTTCACGAAATTCAAGGCGTTGCTGGTGTTTCGTATCAATACCTATAGATGTGTGGCATTGCGAGTCGTAAATATGATCGTCGCTCTCTGAGCATCGTCCATAAATCAAACAAATAGATCTGCTATGTTTTGCAATTACTTGAAAGTTTCACGCCCCACGTGCTTTATTGAGTTAGTTAAACCTGTTTCCTTGATATCGAGTGAGAGTGCAAAATAGCCGTAATACTCGAGCCTTGACGTGAAGAATCACGACTACAATCATCGTATTTACAGCCATACGATAAGATCTTAGTAGGTCACTGACACCTCTCTTCACACACTTGGGCGCTCCTCGTGTGTTTTCGAGTTGAGAGTGACACTAGAACGCTGGAGCTCGCTTCATTTGGAGTCCCATAGCCCTACTGCATACGGATACCTGAACTTGGCTCGCATTGCTGGACTCGCGCATCTGAATTGATACCGTGACATCCCGCTCGCGGGGCTGCCGATGAGCTGCGCTTCTATTTTCGACATACCGCTTGCAACCATCCATCCGTCTTAGCAGCTCGCTTCATAACGCGCTATCGTCAAGCGACAGGACGACCCGCACCGACAGCCTGGTATCGAGGCAAGGATTACCTGCTTCTTCAGGTACGATTAGACAAGAGGCTCCAATTCGTACTCGGTCAAATCCGGGTTTCGGTGTAAGTGTCATAAGATTTGTTATGGAGATTATGGATTTCTTCAATTGCCCATTCGAGAGCCAGTGGGAAGGTTGACATGCCAAAACCAATTCGATTCTAGACCAAATGTCGTGATGAGCAGCACGTCAACTGGCGAGGAAGTCCCAGCATGCTTTTGGCGAAACTCTAATTAAGGGGACATATTCGGTAGCATCCGCGCCCGATTCGGGATGGGGGATGATGGAGACGACATGGGCCAACGTGGGACGGTGGGGGACTCTTCGCGGGACTGCGTGGCTGTGACTGGGGTCTACCTTGACATGACTCTCTGGCAAGCAGAAAACCTGCAAGAGTCCTGGTTCTGTCCTGCACAGTCAACAAGTCTAACGTTCCAGATTTATTTCTGGCCTGCAATGTCACGCCCCTGAACTTCCTGAACGAAGAATCCCATTTCTTGGCATGCCAACACGTGCCCGCTCTTATTCGGTCATACTTATCGCATCATTCCTTGTGATTTGTTTATTCACTTTGTACCCGGATACCGCGGATTGAAGTTTGCTGGAGAATCGTTGTCTCTCAAGGTGGGCGATCTGCTATTTTTGACCATCAGGGTGGTTATGTCGATATGAGTACGAAGGTTATGTGTCATGCTATAGACGTTAATATGTTCACTCGTACTATGCGAAGCGCAAGCAAGCATTGGCCCATGCATTCTCTCCCTTTCCGCAACCCTTCATTCCTATAATTTTCTGCTAAGCACAAGTCAATGCCCATTCACATCTCCGTCTTGGCCTAGGATAGACGTGGTTGTGGCTGGGCGCAAGGAACGGGAGGTGGACAATGCGCCGAAAACGTGAAAACGTGTTGACATTACTCGTAATGCGGAAAAGCTGTCCACATCGAGGATTTCTGTCTGACTTTCGGGCGGAGTCACGCGTCCGCAACTCATAATTTCTGGGGCCGCGCACGTGTATTTCGGCCGATCGGGCGCAGTCTGGGCCCGAACTCTCTGACCTGCCGTGGGCAGACAAACTGACTCAGTGAGCCCGACGATTTGGCCGATGCTGACGCGGAGGAGGACTCGAAGGCAGAACTTCACTTTCGTTGTTTATGACGGGCAAAATTGACGGCAAGAACCTGTACGGTTGAATATACTCTTATCTTTGAAACTGCTCCTCAGGCTCGGCGTGCAGGGGAATCATAGGTCTGAACTCCAAATTTCAGATTATCCGTTAATTAGTTCTGAGCGGAGGTTTGGCCCATGAAGTTGTGGAACAGATCTGCTCAAGGCTCCAGTAGAATCATCACATCACCATCTTATCAGCGTCATCGAGGGTAGATAAACGCCGATCAACTCAGTGTGGCTGTCCGCTTTGTGGTCATTCGCCGTCACCAGGCTCCAAATCAGCAAGATTATAATCATGAGTGAGTACATGGATTGACTCTTCGCCTCGACGGGCTTATCTAGTGAATTGTTTCGAGTTAGTCTCAGCGCAGCTTTGTTTAATGCGAGATTTACTAATTTTTCTGCCCAGAGTTGTCAATCCCGAAATGACTTAAAGTCGTGAGATAGGTCACGTTAGTACGGTTACAGTGATCGCTCACTACTTTGACTCAAGCCGCAGCAACCGCGCTTTGCGGGTTGAAACCGACACACGAATCAGGTTGTTTGCCTTACGGAACACGTCACTAAGGGGAGAATCACTCCGCGTTGACTTATGAACCTCTTTGAGTCCCAATCGGATCAATGAATCTAGGTCTGAGTATACAATCACACTTCCTCGCTGGTTGAAGAACTCGCAGTTGCGAACATTGTGCCAACCAGGTTCCCACAAAGCCAACATTACCTCTCATTCATTTTTGAAAGGGGGAGGAAGTATCTTTATTGATGCCGAGGGTGCTGCCATGAGGATCAAAGACTACGATGCCTTGCCACATATGAAATTGATGCACTATCGTTGGGAGGTATTTCAGGGGAACTTTGATGGACAGGTCTGATTTATGTTTCTCTGTCTCCAACCCACTTTGCCCTAATATCATCGAACTCTGATCGTTGAACTGTTCCGTGACAAACATCTTGACAAGTATGACGATGAACTGTGCAAGTGAGCGCGGCGATGGTACAGGGTAGAGGAAGGCAGCGAACTAACTAAGCGAGTCGACGATGTCAAAAAGAAAACCCTATTAAAAGGGGCCAGTGCCATGCCTTGACTAAGGTAAGGTGAAACTGCATCCATATAGGCAGTCAAATTTTCAATCCCCTCATCTATGTGTCATGGGTCGACAGAACCAAGAGTCACAGCACTCGTAATTAATGTGGATGAGCGACACCCCATGAGTGTCTTGGTCTTTCACGGTTTCAATGGCGCCCTAGAAGCTTTAGACTCGAGTAAAACAAATTTGCATTTGCCAGAAGACATAGCAAATAATCATTGTCGTATAGTTACAATAGGGGCATCGATGTTAGATATAGAGAACGGTTATCTATTAAAAGTATAAAATAAATATAAAGCTCGTTTTAAAATAGAGGGTATAAGCGAGTATAGGCCTTAATAATTATATAACCAAGGTTATATAACGTATAATAAAGTTATAAATAATTAAAGTTATTATAATATATCCCCCTAAATAAATCCCTATTTAAAAAAAGCATACCGAACTACCTATATCGTTATAAAAAAAGCTATTAAAAGCGTAAATTTAAATAATATTATATAGGAATCTATTTATAAAAATAATAATAAAATAAATTGTATTATATATTAAGTTATAAATATAAAGTAAATTAGTAGTAGTTTGTTAGCTATATTTATTATTATAAATAATCTCTAGCTTTTTTTATTAATAGAAAATAGGAACGAAGGGCGGCCTTTTATTAATTAAATAATTAATTTATAATTTAAAGTAGGTAGATAAATAAATTCCTTATAGCTACCTATTATTTTAATTTTCTTTTTTTTTTAACCTATATATATATATTAACTATATATATATATTTTTATTTTTTATTTTAATACTCATATTTATATATATACTTATTAATAAGAATCGGAATTATAATTAATAATATTGTTTAATATAAATACCTAAATTTATTAAAGCTAAAAAGCGCGCTTATATCGCTATAATATATAAAACTAAGCACTTTAAAATAAATTTAAAGGAGAATAGCGGCTCCCTTATTTATAACGACGATCTACTTTTAAATATATAGTTCATCTTTATACTAGATTCCGGTTAGCTTAATAATAATATTATATTACGATTTTATTTTAAATTTATTAATATCTTTATTTATAAATAATAGTTAAGCGGTTAAAAAAGAAAAGATTTAGAAAGATATTAAATATAAAAAAGGTTTAGAGCCCTTTCTTTTAGCCCCTTTTAATAGGTATAAAATAATAAACCGTAAATATAATATTTTTTCTTTATCTTTTTTATTCACGATTTTTATTTTTAATAGTATACTTTTTTAATATTCCCGGTATTAAAGGACTTTTTAAACGGGTACCTCTTTTATTTAATAATAAATATTTAAAATATATTAAGAGCGTTTTAAGCGGCCGAACAGAAAAATAGTACCTCTTAAGTTTAAGCGCTAATAATAAATACGTTTATTATTAGGCCGGTAAAAAATCTAATTATACTCCCTTTTAGGGACGTATATACGAGCTAAATAAAAAGTTTTTATATTTTAAATAAGTAATAAAATACTCTAAGGGGCCGGGTTTTTAATTTATAAATATAGCCTATAATTAGGGAGTATAAAGTTGCTCTAGCGACTTTATTAAATCGTTATAAAAAGGTTATTTATTTAAAAAAATAAATATATATTTATTTAAAAAAAAAACTTTAATATAAGTACTACGTCTATAAGGATATAAATACTAATAAAAATATTAATTCCGATTTAGATATTATTAATTTTAATATATAAAGTAGCTAATACCTTTACGTCCTTAATAGGCTCTTTTAATTCGGACTTTAATATATAAAAAATACCTATAAACGCTTTTCTTACCTCGGCCTCTTTTATATAAGTTACTTTACCCTTAACCTTACTTAATAGCCCGTCGGCTATTAAGGTCTTATATAATACCGCTATTATATAAATTAAGTCTTAAGAATAATTAATAATAAAATTTAGTATAATAAATACGTATAAAAACTTACTTTTTATAATATTATTATTAGATTTTATAATTTTACTTCCTTAATA